GTGCGGGCTTGGGTGGTAATACCCGTAGTTTCCACCACACCCTCCAGGATGACGATGATCTCCAGGTCCTGGTGGTGGTGCAGGTCGCTGGGTGCCAGGTCGTAGAGCGGGCTGTTGGCATCAATGACATGGTAGATGATGAGCGGAGCCACCAGGAAGATGCTGTTACCGCCCACGCCGTTCTCCATGGGGATGTCCACCTGGTGCAGGGGCACCACCTCGCCCTCAGGGCTGGTGGTCTTGCGCACCACCTGCATGTGAATGGTCGCGCTGATGATCATGCTCTTGCGTAGGTCTCCCACGCGCAGCATGAAGCAGAGGCGCCCGTGGCGCAGGGCGATGACGGCGTGCTTGCTGAAGATGAGTGTCTCTGCCCGCCGGTGGGCCTGGGCAGTCTTCATGAAGATGCAGCCCAGCATGATGGCGTTGATCATGAGTCCCACGATGTTCTGCAGGATGAGGATCAGGATGGCCAGGGGGCACTCCTCGGTCACCATGCGCCCGCCAAAACCGATGGTCACCTGGACCTCGATGGAGAAGAGGAAGGCCGACGAAAAGGACTGGATGCTGGTGACGCAAGGTACGGTGGTGTCCTCACCGGAAGGCGCCAGGTCACCATGGGCGAAGGCGATGAGCCACCAGACCATGGCAAAGAGTAGCCAGCTGCACAGGAAGGACATGGTGAAGATGAGCAGCGTGTGCGGCCACTTGAGGTCCACCAGTGTGGTAAACACGTCCTGCAGGAAGCGGCCTTGCTCACGGATGTTCTTGTGGGCCACATTACAGTTGCCTTTTTTGGATACAAAGCGGGCCCTGCGCTCCCGGGCCCGGTACCTGGGCTCGGCAGGGTCCTCGGCCAGACGCGTCAGCACGTACTCCTCCGGGATGATGCCCTTGCGGGACAGCATGGTTGCGGCGACCCCAGGCAGGGGCTTCTCCCATGAGGCTCACCAGAGGCCTGGGATCCTCCCTGTGGGGTTCCCTGCTTGGGCACCTGCCTCAGCCCGTGGCTGCTGACCTCACTGACTGATTCTAAAGGGAGCCCCACCTCCACCTGGATCCGGCTTTCCTTTTTTCCTCTCTGCCTCACACTACGGCTCACTTGTCCATTGCCTACTCAAGCTCCCTGGCCCTGCGGATGCCCCACCTGACCCGGATCCCTGCCCAGCTCTCCTACCTGCTGGCTACCCTGAGCCTGCCACCCTCCCCAGACTCCTAGGCCCCACCCAGCCTGCCTTCTCAGCCACCTCTGAACTTGGCACCTGAGATCTTACCAACGAACTGGGTTGCACACCTCCCCCACGAGTCTCCCGCCTCACCCATCTCTGTCCCCTTTCCCTCCGGGATCCAGCTTCACGTCCGGGCCACCTCATGCTCTCCACGTAAGCCCCAGCCTCCTACCCCACCCATTCTGCGGCTCGCCCTTCGGATCCCCCTCCAGCTCGCGCCCTCTCTGTCTCCTTGGGATCTCGCGCCCTTCGGAGTCACCACCCTTCCCAGCTTGCGCCCCACGCGCGACCCCGCCGATCTCGCTCTGTCCGGGTCGCGGCCTCCCGGGCTGGTCCAGCCGCACGCCTGCCCGTCCGCGCCGCGGCCCCCGCCCGGCGCCCGGTGCCCGCCCCGCCCGCGCGTCGCCGCGGCACCTGCTCCTGCTGCTCAAGCCGCGGCCGCCGCTCCCCCTCCCGTCGCCCTGCTGCGCGCGGCCGGCAGATTTCCCGTCGCCGTGGGTCTGTCGGTCCGGGCAGGACGACCCGTGCTAGGCTGGGGTGGAAGCCCGCGCGCCAGGGGGGCGTCCGGGGAGCCCAGAGGGGGCGCGGGGTCCGCCAGGGGGAGCCCGACCTGTGCCGGAGCGGGAGTGGGGCGGGCACAGGGCGCACGCTCCGCCCATCGCCGATCTCACCGCCCCCCAACACCTCCTGGCGCCTGGGACTCCACTCCCAACTGGCAAAGAGGGTCTTGGTGCCGGCCCTCCCAGGCTGGGATGGCTGCCCCCCTGGCCCTGGCTTCCCTCCTTCTTCTCTCCCATGTGCAGTCGGGTCGGCGTCGGTCTCTCGCCCAGCTCTTGGGTTTCCAGGGCGAGAAGCCGCTGAGTCCCCGCTGTCGGGTCCGGGTCCGTTAGGTGGCCCGAGGACTACTAACAGTCCTTTTGGATGTGCTCCTGATCTTCTCTCCATCCCGGACCTTCTGAGAAGACTAGGAAATCTCGGACTCCCTCTCCACTAACAAAACAAAACAAAACAAAACAAAACAAAACAAAACAAAACAAAACAAAACAAAACAAAACCTTGCTTTCCTAGGCGCAGTCCGCCTCCGACCTAGTACAGGGTGGCCGGGGTCCCTTGGACCACCCCGTGCCCTGCACACGTGTTTCATGAATGCTTTGAGGACTCCCTTTAATCCCATTTTCCATCACCTTTCTGAAATTCCCTCGTTTTAACCTGGGAAGCAGGGAGGGGCCGGCAGGATGAAAGCCCCAGGGGACAGGGAGGAACTTCTGAGGTTGCTACTGTCGCTGAGCCTTGTGAAGAGGAGTCTGGGTGAGCCTCCAGCCCAGTACCACCTGCCTGTCCCTCCCCATGGACGGTGGTGCGGAAGGAGGGTGGGTCTGCGCTGTGGGAAGGCTGGGGCTGGGCTGAGGACACTGGTTGGATCAAAGTGGCTTCTCTTAGAGGGGATGTTCTTGGCTGGAGGGTGTGTGAGCCAAGGCTGGTGAACACTCTGGTACTTTATTGCGGGGTTTGGGACTGAATGAGGATTTGGGCCTTGGGTGTCCAGCAAGGCTTCAACGCGGGTCCTTATGTGCCCCACTGCTTCCCTCCAGGCCCTGGGGCTTTGGTGGATGGCTGAAGTCCTGAAGGCCTGCTTCCCTGTGCTCCTTTCCTGAGAGATCCCACGATGCAGGGGAGTGCAGAGTCCCAGGGTGGAGACATCTCAGAGCTGGAAGGGCTCAGCCTGGAGGCTTCCCCTGTTTCCTGCTGTGCCATCCAAGAGGGTGCAACTTCCGCTTCTGCTTCCTCACGCTGCTCCCTCCCTCCCACTGTGCTGCTGCGGCCCTTTCTGGCTCCAAAGCCCTTTGTGCTCCATTTGCACTTTGTGATGACATCCAAGGCGCTCTGCTCTGCTCCCTCCCTTGCCTCCCTGGTCAACCAGCATTCCTAACTCACCCTAGGCCCTGGCTCCTGCTTCCCCTTTTGCCCTCATGATCTCTTCTAACCTTTTGTCCACCCAATGTGAACGAACTCCTTTCCTGTCCTTCATGCAAAATGTAACATCAACAGATACATAGGTAAACATATATATATGTATTCATCTAGAGGAGCTGTGTAATAAACACCAGCATACCAAAGAAGTGAAGATACATTGCAGCAAGCATCTCTATTCCTGAATAAAAGATGGACTCCCAATGAAACTGTTAAATATGTCTTGACAGTAGATGCTGGATTGTCAACGATTTTCTATATACCTACAATGTCATGATACACTTAAATATGGACTTATAAATGTTGCTAAAGGACTATACTATTATAATAACAGAGGAGAACAGTAGGGGGTTGGGGGAATAGGAAGGGTGGAAGGGGAAATCTCTGAGCCTATAAAACTGTATCATGAAGAATATAAATAAGAAAATAATAAATCCTGCCTTTCCCAGGCAGCCTGCCAGGCCTCAAGGGACTCTCCCTTTCTGAGTCCCTCTGGCTTCTGGAACCTCCAGGAGGGTCTGCCCTGAGCCTCCCTTCAGTGACAGAGGAGGGATAGAGTCCTCATGTGGAGTCTGATCCCCTGGATGCAAGCCCAAGATCCCTTGGCTTGTGCCCCCATTCTGATAAGCCAGAATTGTAGTCAACATGTAAGTTAAAGCAAAATGATGTGCAAACAAGCACCTGCCATTTCCTGGCCAAGGGCAGATGAGCACTTCCGTGGGGTGATGGAGAGGGAGTCAGGACAGCTTTTGTTTTGGCCTCCCTGGTATCTGGGCTCTAACCTCTCCCAACCACCCCCTGGCTGACTTGTGGTACAGGCACTGCGTGTTCTCTCTGAAGAATCAGACAGGGATGGGGATTGGGGCAGAGAGATGGGGACATCTGATCCAGGGTGTATTCCAACTCTCTGACTCCAGGTATTGGGCAAGGGTAGGAAGGAGTTTCAAGTTGGTACATTGAGGCTTTTGCTGTGAGTTTGGGGGAGGAACATAGCTCTTTCTTCTTGAGTTTTCCAGGGGACAAAGTGTAAATGGTGTGGTCATCCATCATCCGCAAGGGAGAGGAAATGGAGCTTAAACATGGAGACCAATGTCAGAAGGTCCTCAAAGTGGTACAGCCAGCCACACTCTATAACAACCTCATGTTTTCATTTGAGGTGGGTTCCTGTCATTCACAGTGGAAACATTAACAATTCAGGATATCCAGCTCATGTGATTTCAATCCAAGAATGACAAGGGCAAGGAAGGGGATCCAGCTGTATGGAGATATCTTAAGTGAATCATAGCAATGCCATCAATCACCTTTACTATGGACCAGAAGGCAGCCACTTTTCCCTAGCTCATAGCTCCTAGCCCTAGGTGACAGTAGAACTGTGAAGTGTGGTCATCAGTTTCAGGGAGGCCAGAGGGGTGGGTCTCCAATCCAGTATGACTGATGTCCTTATAAGAATACATACACAGTCCAGAGGCAGGTGCAGAGAGGAAGGGCCACGTGAAGACGCAGGGTCTGTCTGGAAGCCAAGGACCAAGGTCTCGGGAGAAAGCAAACCTGCCAACACCTTGATCTTGGATATGAACCTCTGCAATGGTGACGTGAGTTTCTGTTGCTAAGGTCTCCCAGTGTGCGGTATTTTGTCATGACAGTCTAACAAATACAGTCCTTGGTTCACAGATGAGAAAACCTCCTTTTGTCCATGCCCATGTGGATCCTTCAGTTCTGCCCCATGCCAAAGACAGGCGGCTCCTGATACCCACAGTCCGCTCGCTGCCCACCCCTGCCCATCAGACATATGGCTTCCAGTAGCAAAGACAGAATCTCTTTATTCACAAGCGATTGGAAGGTAGAAAACCCAGGCTGGGGGGCCAGAGGACAGGGCAAGAACAACCCCAGCTCTGGCAGGTCACTTGTCTGCACGCACAAAGGAGGCGAAGACGCTGTCCTTGCGGCTGAGCAGCTTCTCAGGTTTGTCAAACTCCAAGATGGCACCTCGCTTCAGGACAATCACCAGGTCCGCGCTCAGGATGGTATGTACACGATGCTGGGTAGGCAGGAGGGGCTGGTCAGCGTAGCAGGCCGGGCGGGGGTGGGGGGTCAGAATGTCTCATCTGTGGTAATTGCTTCTTCCTGAGTGGCTCTGAACCAAGCCTGCCATCCTCAAATATTGCCCTCTCCCCTCACATCTCTGTTCTCCCCTCACCTGACTGCAGCACCCAGAGGTCCCCATAGCTCCCCCACCCAACGCCTACTTTCTATGGATTAGTAACCCCGGCCTAGCTCACAGGGCCTTGGGATGGGATGGACCTTGGAACCTGGAAAAAGAGAGGGGAGGGCCAAGGGAAGCAGGTGCACCCCAGCTCCCTACCCTGCAACCCAGGCTCCCTGCCAGTCCTCCAGACTGCTGGCTCTGACCTGCTCCAGGGTCCTTTCTTGATTATAAGGACCAGGCCAGCCCTGGGGCTGCCCATGGATGACAGTCCCTCAGGAGGCCAGTCCTTTCTCTGGGGTCCCCCTACACCCCTTTGAAGGGCCGCTTACCGCGATGGTGACCACAGTGCGGTCTGCAAAGGCCGTCATCACCACCTTTTGGAGGATGTTCTCCTGCCGGGTGGAGGCAGCAGCTGTTGGCTCACATGTCCCATGGATGTAGTACCCAGGTCCCATTTGACCCCAACCCTGGCCCCAGCCACCTCTTATCTGATCCCAATCCCTGTAAGTCGAGAATTTGAGAGTTAGACTCAGACAGTCAGTGTCTGCATGGGCTGGAGATGGATGACAGGTGTAAAGTCTATGTGTGTGATGTGTATGGTGGTTTGATGTGTGGTCTCATGTGTGCGACTGTATGTGTGGTTAGTGTGTGATTTTATATGTGTGATTGTGTGTGGTTTGTAGTTTTGTGTGTGTGTTTGTGTGTGTGTGTGTGGTATGTGTGTAGTTCTGTGTGGCTGCTTGTGGTTATATATATGTGTGTGATTGTGTATTATGTGTGGGTGTATGTAATTGTGGTTGTGTATGTGTTTGTGTGTGTCTGTTTGTAGTTTTGCACATGTGTGGTTTTGTGTGTGTGTATAAAATGTCCCTAAGACTAGAGGGAGTCAGGCCCGCAAATCCTTTGCCTTTTGGATCACACACAGCTCTTAGCCTCAGCACCAGTGTGTGCACACCTCTCTCTAACACCTTCCACAACCCTGCCGAAGGTCTGCCTCCCAGCACCGACCGTGGCCATGTCGATAGACGCTGTGGCCTCATCCATGATGAAGATGCTTGTCTTCCGCACAAAGGCCCGAGCCAGGCAGAACAACTGCCTTTGGCCCTGGCTGAAGTTCTCCCCACCTTCCGTGATAATGGCATCTGCAAAGAGCCCCCAGACAGGGAGCAGGATCATGTTAACCCCACGCCACACGTGAGCCAGACGGGGCGGCTTAGGGAAAATGCAGACTGGGTACAAATAGGTGGATGTGGGTCCGTGAGCTCAGGTGTGTGCAGTGTGGCTGCAGCTGACCCAACAACACAGCCTGCAGTAAGAAGGGCACTGAGTACATTAACACGACCCTGAGCTGCCCTGGCTGCCTCTGTGTAGGCTTTGGGATGGGGACCAGGCCATGAGTGAAGCTGTCCTTTCCTCTCCTGGGCAGGCAGGCAGGTAGACGGGGCAGGGCAGGACTGAGGACACTGCCGCGGTACTGAGGAACCTGCCATCTCTGTCTCATGGGGACCCACTTCCAAGGTCCCCCTGTGTCCTGCAAGAAGGACCATACCCAGGACTGACAGGTTGTGTGACTGGGGCAAATCCCCTGAGCTCCCTGAGTACCTGCATGGGGAAAGGAAGAACTAAACGGTCTCAGGGTGGCAGGGACAAGGGAGTCCTGCCAGATCCCAGGCTGCCAATAAGGGCACACCTAAGCCATGGGCACATGGCTTCCCTCTCTGTCCCTGATGGTTCCTTTAGTGCCCAGCATCCCAGGGACGTGGCCAGGAGTAGTTACCGAGGCCTCCTGGCAGTGCCTTCACCACCAGCTTCAGTTGGGCAATCTCCAGGGCCTCCCACAGTGTGCTGTCGGAACACTTCTTCTCGGGGTCCAGGTTAAATCTGGAGGGGCACACAAAGCCCCCGTGGAGAGGGCAGGAGGGGGCAGAGTGAGAACTGATGGCCCTGAGGGAGCACTGGAGGTGGTGTGGCAGTGGCTGTGGGACTTGTTACCAGCACCTGCCTGGGTGGTGATCACCACAGACAGGCCTTCCTGTGAGCTGCCCGCCCCATCCCCACCCTCTCTATGCATCCACTCTGTGGGAGCCTCCCTGCCCTTGGGATAGGAGGGCCTGGCAGGGCAGTAATGGGTACTCACCGGATGGTGCCGCTGAAGAGGACGGGGTCCTGCAGGATGATGGAGAGGCGTGAGCGCAGAGTGTGCAGTGGCAGCTTGGCAATGTCAATGCCATCTATGATGATGCGCCCTGTACAGAGATGAAGGCACAGGGCCAGGGCCAGGGTTAGCCTGGGATGGGGCACCTGGTTAGAATGTCCAGGAAGGTAGCAACACCTGACTCTGTACCGAGGCTGGTTATTGTGAATGTGTGTGTATAGGAGGGATGTGTGTGACCCGCCAGTGCTGTGCAGCTCACCTTCAAACATGTCCACCATGCGGAAGAAGGCAAGAGAGAAAGAAGACTTCCCACTGCCCGTGCGGCCGCAGATGCCAATCTAGAATGAGAGAAGCAGGTGGGCTTCGGAAGCCTTGGGGTTGCTGCGGCACCATCCGGCTCTGCACTGTGGATGTCATGCACGGTGGGAGGTCATAGGGTCCCCTGCTGTCCAGGTCTTGTGCCCAGCCAGCTTTCTTTGGGCCAGGGCTGGGTTCAGGATGGGGTTTGTTTCCTGCGCTGAGTGCAGCAGGGGCCCATGGTGGAGCCCGAGAGAGAAGCACAGGGTGCAGATGTCCCCTGGCCGGGGCCCTCGTGTGGGTCTGCATGTGCTCCGTGTGAGGCTGCTGCATGTGCCACATTGTGTCTCTACGTGCACAAACTTGTGAGGCCGACTAAAGCATGCAGGGATGTGCCTGTATGCCCAGCTTAAACTGCAGCCATGTCTGTATTGCCTCCTGGTTCTCGGGTAGTGGCAGAAATTACAGTGAGGGGCTGGGTCTTGGGCGTGGCGGTGCACAGGCTGCTTGGGACACCTGTATGCTGAATGGGAGAGTCTGGCTTTGGGTCTTGGCTCTGCTTTCAATCCCAGCTTGCTGCTTACATGCACCCTGGGAAGCAGCAGTGAGAGCTCGAGTAACTGGGTGCCTGTCATCCCTGCAGGAGACTCTGCTGGTGTTTCTGCTCCTGACTTTGGCCTGGCCCAGTTATGGCTGTTGGGGGCATCTGGGGAGTGTGCTAGCAAACAGCAGATGACTGTCTACCTTCCTAATCAATGAAAACAAGTCATAAAAACCAGAATCAATTATAATCAATAAGAGGCCAGGCCAGAGACACGGATGGACAGGAGCGGATGGGACGGGGACGGGGATTATATTTAAAGGCTACAGTGAGGAGGTCAGTCACAGACAATGACAGAGACAGAGATGGAAGGAGAAGTAGGGGAGCAGGGGAGGTCAGGAGGATGATTTGGGTGGGAATGCTGGCCAAGCTGGATCCCTGACAAGGGCAGCCTTACCCTGTGCCCCTGGGGCTCAGGGGGTTGTGCTCTAGGGAAATCCCTAGACCATTTGCAAGGAACAAGATCCTGACCGCACTGCCCCTCTCCCATCAGGAGGAATCCGGGTCATCGCCTCCTTTGTGGATAAGCCAGGAAACAGGTGTGTGTGTGTGTGTGTGTGTGTGTGTGTGTGTGTGTGTGTGTTTGTGAGGAGCAGCAGCAGGAGAGGCGAGGACAGGGAAGGTGGCCTGAGCCCGGCTGGCAGCTGGGGATGGAGATCTGACCTTCTGCCCCGGGGAGATGAGAGCGTTGACGTGCTTCAGCACAGGCTTCAGGGAGCTGTCGTAGCGCACACTCAGGTTCTGGATCTGGATCTTGCCTTGGTCTGGCCAGTTCTTAGGGATCAGTGAAGGAGCTGGGGGCCGGGCTGGGGGTCAGCCAGCAGGCGTAGGCCACAGCCAGGACCTAGACTCCCACCCATTCTTGCTGTTGCTGCACCCCTCACCCAGCAGCCCCTCGTAGCTCTCTGCTTCCGTATTCAGGAGCCCGTGGATCCGCTTCACAGCCCCTAGCTGCAGCTCCATGTCTGCCAGGTTTCTCACCATCCAGTTGAGGTAGTTGGAGACCTGTGGGGATCATGGCTGTCATTGGTACTCAGCTGTCATAGCTCTGTCCCCAGCTGTCAGGATGGTGGAAGAGGCTCACAGCCCTCCCATCCTCCGATGTCCTTGCTGCCTACCAGCTGCCCACCAGTGGCCCATGTTGGAGGGTCACAACCAAGATAGCTTCTCACCTATCACCTGGCTCCTGCAGGCTGTCTCCCTGTTCAGTGCACTGGTCCCTCTGAGATGAGACTCTGCTTATCCTCAACTGGGGTGACTCACGTGTCAGCTGGGGAAGGCACAGTCCTGGGGCTGGAATATGACCCCACCCCTCCCAGCCCAAGGTCACTCACCATGAGGGCATATGTGAGGCCCAGGCCCACAAGGCCAGCAGAGAGCTCCCTGTGCAGGGAGTTGGAGATGGAAGTTGCTGCCGCGATGAGCACTACACATGCACCAATGTACTCCTGCAGAGAGAACAGCCGCCTGGGCCCTTGGGGGCTGGAGCCACAGACTCCCATCTGGCTCGCCCTCCTCCAGGGCAGACAGCAGCTCTACTGTGCCTGGCTCCAGCTTTGCCACTCATGCAAATGGCAGCAGCTGCAGGAGGCCTTGAAGCCTGGGGTCCCTGGAGCCAGACTTTGCCCACATCCCAACTACCTGCACACACCTGTTCAGGTGGTCCTGCCCAGGTAAGCCTCATTAGTTGGCCTGTCATGCACACAATACACATGCATCATGTGTCCCTCAGCAGTTTCACACTCATCACAGTTACACACACAGTTGTCCTGGCTCCTGACACAGTCCCGAGAGAGCCAAGCCTCCAGGTAGTAACTGGGGGTGAAGTTGCTGGGAGGACACCAGGCCTGAGCTAGGCAGTGGCTCAGTGGCCTCGCAATCCAGCTCCCACCCCCTGGTTCATGTTCGGCTCCACAGCCCTATCAGAACCCTGGACTGTGGCCTGGAGTGGCACTTGCCATGCGAACTTCTAGCCACCTGTTGGCAGCCGTGAGGAAGAGGGAGGCGATGTTGTTGGAGTCTGTGTATTCAAGGAGCTTCTGCTGGAACCGGGCCTCATACCTGGGAGGGAAATAAGGGCCCAAGAAGGTCCAAGGAGCATGTGGACTCTCCATCCCTATGGAGGGGCCACCTGAGCCTCCACAGACGCCAGACGTGCCATTCCCACCTGGAGACCCCTGGCTCTTCCCCACCTGTGCCATTCCCCTCTGGAGACCCCTGGCTCATCTTGTCTGATCCAAGCCTGATGAGGATGCTGTCTGCTTTACATTCCTGCCTTCCCTCCAGGACCTGTTCTTTTCCCCATGTCTTTCCTGTTAAAATAAAGGACACTTCCATCCCTCTACCCGGCTGCTGAGGCCAGAAACCAAGGCATCACCTGCCTCACTCCAGCCTTCTCAGAAAGTTCCCTAATGTCTTCTTCAAATAGTCCTTGCCTCTGCCCACCTCCCTGCCACTTCCTACCCAGTACAAACTCCCCCATGGGCTGCCGCCTCAGCTCCCTAACAGGTGCATCTGCTGACTCCCTAGGTGTACTCCACCTAGCATCATTGTTCTACATCAAAAACCATGCACCATTTCTGTGCTGCTCAGAGAACAGTCTCCCATTGCTTTTGGGATAAAGAATTGTCCCCTTGCCAGGGGCCTGGGTGAGTTGCTCCTGCAACTTTATTCCTTGCCATAAATGCCTTTGCTCACTATGCTGCCCCAGGCTTTTAGGAACTTTGTGACAACACTGAGCTCTTCTGCATCCCAGGACCTTTGCACATGCTGGCCCCTGTGCCTGGACCATTTTCTTTCTCTGCTCTTTCCAAAGCTCCTTCTCCCCCTTCAGCTCTTGAGTGGTATCTTCTGAGAAAGGCCTTTCCCAGCCACTACCTTATCCAAAGCCTTTTGTCAAATTTAAGCTGTGCCGGTCTCCCTCATCATCCTCTCTTTGCAACCTGCTCGTGTCGTAGGGTCTGTTTGTGTGATCATTTCTCTAGCTGCTTTGGTTCCATTTCTTGCCCTGGAAAATCCATGAGAATGGAGGGCAGGCCTGATTGGGCACTGCTATATCCTAGCACCTGGCACTATCTGTAACTATTTGTTGAACAAGTAAATAGAAGCTTCCTGACCATCTAAGGCAGATGAGATCTCTCTATACAGAGAACTCTAAAGGGTTCTATCCCACCCCCATGTCCTCAACGTGTTCCCCTGCATGACTGTGCTTGGACCTGCCTCCTCTCTCTGACCAGTCTGGGCTCCTCAGCCACCTCCCTCAGGCCTTGCTGGTGTTTGCTGAGAGAAGCTGGCAGGAAGTGGAGGGAGTGCTTGCTAGAGTCTGAATTCGCAGAATGGATACTGGTTGATGACTGAAGGGACAAATGGAAAGCAGTTTCTGGAGAGGACCAAACTCCAGGGACACAGAAGGGCTCCAGAAAGTACCTTACATTGGCTGCTCCCTCCCAGGAAGTGCTTGTTGGCATTTGCTTGTTGCTGGGCGGATGGTGTGTGTCTGGGGAGACAGGAGTGAATCTCTGGGCAGTGAGAGAGTGTGTGATTGCACAGCTGCAGGGTGGCTGGGGCAGGTGTGTGATGTGTCAGAGGAAGTGTGAGCTTGAAGAGTTTGAGCAGTGTGTGCTGAAGAGGTGTGTGTGTGCGTGTGTGCATGTGTGTGTGTGTGCATGCACAGGTGTGGAAAGGGCCCCAGCTTTGCAGCAGTGCACAGTCAGATTGCATGCCGACCATCAAAACCTGTGTGTTAGGACCAAGCCTCCAGTTTCCTCATCAGCAAAGTCGAACTATTACTAGCCCAACAGGAGATGACTTCTGAGCCCAGTGCTGGGCTCTCCCGGAGCTCCCTGGGGGAAGCAGCAAGGAAAGTTCAGGAGGTCAGACTAGCCCTGGCACTCAGCACCTGTGTGACCTCGTCTGGGTGCCCAGCCAGTCTGTGGAGGTCTCAATTCTGTAGCTGTGGAGCATGGCTCCTTGTACCTGTGCCATGGGGCTCTTGGGACGCTAACTGCAATGATGCACACACAGCACTGAGTAGGATTCCTGGTGTGTGGTGCGTGTGCAGGCAGGAAATGCCACTTAGCTCTCAACAGGGCCACCTGCTGGGCTAAAGCCAGGAAGCGAAACACACTCATGGATGATTAAAAAGTCTTTTGTCAAATTTAAGAATCATTTGCCATGTCAGTGTAGTGTAGTATGTGAGGCTTTGCTGGGCAACAGCTCCTTGGGCCAACCACAGGCTTGCCTGGCGCTGGGGACAGACAGGATGCTGGAAGTCACTACTTATGAGAGGGTCTGGTGTCTTCCCCCTGTGTCAGCCCGGAGCTCCCTGGGATGCCAATGGTGAGAGGGAACATGAGCAAGACCTAGAGTAGAAGTGAGGCCCAGCAGAGGGTCCAGGACCGGCAGGCTGAAGGCACTGGGGAAATGCAGGCTGGAGACGAACAAGGGGCTTGCATGGGGTCAGGGGAAGTCCAAGGGGCTAAGCCACAGCCAGGGGGAGCATGGTCTATTTCATTTAGCTTCATTCCCACACGACCCATAAGAGGGTGTTACCCTGTGGCCCCTGGGCTTGCATACTGAATGTAGTGCTGCCCAGGGGCCTGGGCACCTCCTGACACTGGGCTGGACTTCATAGGTTAGGGAGGAAGACACCAGCCTCACTGGGGAAGACCTAGGCTATGTCCTGAGAACAACCCTAAGGTTACTCCTGGCCACAGGGCTTTGTATCACATGTAATTGTCATGCCCACAGCAGCTGTGCCATCCTAAAACAACCCACTATCACTCACTGGCTGAGACTCAGAGCCCGGGGCTCAATTCTCTGGGCCAGGAGTCTCTGGCCTGTCTGGCTGGAGGAGTGGTGCCCGAGACCCGATCCTGGGGCGGCTATTGCTTCCTCACTCCCCGGCAGCCTCAACACTCCCATCCAGCCAAACGTCACTCTGCAGGGTGGCAAGTAGATGGCAGGACACTGACTTTTTTGGGAAAGTCTTCCAACCTGGTGAATTTCTATCCATCCTTTGAGTCCTGGGTCTGATGACACCTCCTACATGAAGCCCTCTGTGACTGCTTCCCTTCTGTGTTCTCCCACAGCCCTTGTCTTTCCTTTCAGAGTGTCTGCTCAAAGCTTGGCCTATAAATGCCTGCAGCTTCACCTGACTCAGTTTTTAGTGCCTGACATGGAACACACAGTAAGCACTCAGCGAATGACTAGTGAATGAACTGGTAGGTTCATGTGTGAGCTTTGTGGGGCCTTTTGTAGAAAGTTCTGCAATCTCTCTATAAGGTGTCTCCTTGTTTGTGCAATGGGAACAGTCGTGCCCACCACCCAGGGGTGCCATGCAGCATGAATAAGAATAGCAGAGTGCTCAGCATGACACAGTTGACTAAAGAAGGCCTCAAGCCTGGTCCACATCGTCTAGAACTTTTCTAGCATGTACTCAAGGCCTCATCTCAGCCTTGTTTCCATGTGCCAGGGTTCACAGGCATCCAGGGTCTGCCTGCAAGGCTTGAGTTTTCTTCTCTAGATCCAATAGCTGATGCTCACCTGGCCTGTCCCAGCCACTGCACATAACCAGTTCTTAGGGCCTGAGGAGGGACCCCGAGAACTGAATCTCATGACCTGAGACCTGGCCCCACCCTCATGCCACTGCTACCCTAGGGGAATTTGACTTGTACCTGAAGGCCCGGATGGTGGTGAGGCCTTCCACAGTCTCAGCAAAGTGAGAGAGCAGTGGGAGTTGGGTGGTGTCATCCAGCTGTTGCAAGTCCCTGTGCCGGGGACAGAGAACAGTGGTTAAAGGTGTAGGCACAGAGCCCAGATCAGGTCCAAACTCAGCTTGACCCAAGGCTACTGTCTGGGCCTTAGAGAGACCACCTGTCAGGCTGTTGGGGACACTGGGCCAGATTTGCATGCAAAGAGTTTTAACATTGCCCATAGGTACAGGGCCTGCCATCCTGTGCATGACTGGGGACATGTGTGGACCTGTGCATGTGCATCTGCTGCACAGCCTCCTGACCCAGTGAGGCCCGACAGTGACAGTCCCACCCTATAGGAGGACAGTTTGAACCTGAGACTCAGGCCTTCTAGGGCCTCCCTCTCCAGTAATCACAGTAGGCTTTGGCACCTCATAGGGCAGAACCTAAAGAGGGAGGAATGGCCAGAGATTTCCATGGTAACAGACCCACTCCCCACCTTCCCTATAGGTCCACACTGTCGAGTGTGCGAGGACCCAGGTGGTAGGGCTGGGATGCAAGAAGTGGCTTTCTGTGCAAACCATCTCAGGACCTGAGGAGCAGGGAAAACATCTCTGCAGAAGGCAAGAACTGTGGACAACAGCTTGTGCCATGTTCAGGAGGTGCCTGTTGCTGTGCTCCGAGTGCATGCTTAGTGATTAGGGCCAACCCAGACCAGCCTCTGTGTAGACAAAGCTAGATCCCAGGGGGCAAGTAATTGTGGCCAAAAGGCATCTAAATTGAATCATCATTATTGTTAATCAGTCCTGGGACGGTTCCTTGCCAATTCTGTGTACCAGGGAAAAGTAGTTAGCCTTCCTGATGACAGCCTGCAGTAAGAAGTGCGTTTTACCTCACAACTCAGTGCACACATCACGTCCATGACCTGGATAAAGGTTTCATGAAGCAAAGCTTATGAGTACTCCATGAGTACAGTCTGATATTTTCTGTCCTACTTATTTTCTACAAACCAGGCTGTGGGGCTGGCATTGAGGCATAGTAGGTTAAGCTACTGCTAGCAATTCCAACATCCCTTATCAGAGTGCAGGATCATGTCCCAGCTGCCCTGCTTCTGACCAGCCCTTTGCCAATGTGCCTGGAAAGCAGTGGAAGATAGCCCAAGTGCCCAGACCCCTGCCACCCATGTGGGAGACCAGACTAGAGTTCCAGGATCCTGGCTTCCATCCTGCCCTGACCATTGTAGTCATTTAGGGAACGAGCCAGCAAATGGAAGGATTATTTCTTTCTGTTGCTCTGTCTTTTAAATAAACAAGATGCTGGTTGGGATTCATAATATTCATTTCACAACCCACTGATGAGCAGTTGTTGGGTGTTTGAGAAATACTGGCCCCAAACTTTCCCTCTGATTTTCAAAGCTATTAGCTTAATGGAGTCACTGCCCAGAGGATGTGGCAGAGAAAGTTCTCAGGAGGAAACTCAGAGTGGGAAAGCAGGGTGCATGTGTGCACGGTCCTAGGGCTCAAGAGGGCAAATGTACCCAGAGCAGATAGATGGCTGGCAGAGGCTTGCTGCAGTGCAGGCACAGGAGCTGTGCACTGGGCTTTCTGTAACACTCCATACCCCAGGGGCCCTGGTGTCACACATTGCCCAGCAGCCTGGCCAGTGAAATCATACAGCCTTCCTAGAAAACACGAATGATGGGCACAGATTTGACCACACTCCACAGGAGCTGATTCAGACATGATGGTGTGGTGTGCGTGCTGACATGTGCTTCCCTCAGGGCAATGAAACACAGGCACTGGGGAGCAGGACTCCACTGCAGTTATGATGACAATTCTAGGAGATGAACCAAGCCGTCCACTGCCGAGCACCCTTCCTCCCACCTCTGAGGCTGCCAAATGTCACCTGGATGCCACCCGGAAGTACTTCTGGATGAAGTAGCACACGATGGCCAGGGGCAGGAGGGCCACGAGGAACACAGGTGTGACGTAGGAGATGACGGCCAAGGCTGAGACACAGAGCAGCGTGGAGCGGCTCAGGCACTCCAGCGTGGAGGGGATGTGCTGCAGGAAGCCAGGGGGCAGAGAGCCTGGTGAGGTTGCTGTTGGAGGTCACCTGGTCTGCACACTGCTCTCTCCCTTCTCACTGCAGGCCCTCATCTCATCTCGCTCACTCAGCCATTAGCTCTGGGCAGCAGGACTCAGGCCTCTGCTTTTGCATCATCTAGGACAGTGGCAAGACCACAGACTGCGCCTGGAAGAATCTCCTCCACACAGTGAGCCAGGTAGATACAGAATCAGCCAGCAGGTCATGGATCTTGCTTGTCTTGGCTTTAATATGAAGGTCTTAGGGTGGCCCCAGACCTTTAGGCAGCATTAGAAGCTGATGGGGGACCCCCCAGCTCCTCTAACATGGGGTACCCACCCTCACAAGGAGAAGCCCCTGGTCTGATCTCCCTGACCCTGGGTGGGTGTGGCACAGTGCTCCATACCTGGTCAATGGTGTTACAGTCAGATGAAAATCTGTTCAGGATGCTCCCAAGGGGCGTGGTCTCAAAAAACCTAAGATGTAATCAGAAGAACAGTTCCTTAGCCGTTCATCGATCTACTCCTATTGAATGGAGTGAGTCACCTTTCACTGCAGTGTCTTTGAGGCCATCCACAGGGATAGCTTTCTGGGAGCTGTTGGCTTTGTGGGTCAGCAGACATCTGGCTCATGTCCCTGAGCATTCCTGTGCCTGTCCAAAGTGGGGCTGGCCTCTCTCTGGCTCGCTGAATCAAGTCCATATGTGGCCACTGTCACCTTCCTGGCTGTTGGCTGGGCTTGACTCACTCAGCAGCTGCCCTCCAGACAGACAGCCCATCAGCTGACTAAGCCTGGCAGGCCACTCTGGCTGTCAGTGCTCCAGCTGGGACCTGAAGTCAGTCCAAGCCCAGGCAGAGGGGCAACCACAGACTGGGGGCAACAGAAAGGAAAGGAAGCTTGGAGGCTACAGGGGAGCTCATGAAGCTGCAGAGTGTAGCCATGGAAGAGGGGTCAGTTAAACTGTGCACCTGTTGAGATTTTACACAGAGTTGGAACCAGTTCGGCAGTGGCAACAAGACACCCCTTCCACACCCCATAGCCTGTAGGATTTTCGTCCACCCCATTATTGGGGATTAGATCAGCTCCTGCAAGCTGACTGAGGGAGGAGGGAGCGGGGAAATGAGAGCTGAATTTGTAAATGGGAGGACAGGCAGGGGGCAGTGCCTCAGGAAGGGAAGTAGTTTTTCCCCAGATCTGCAGTGCTTATTTGGAAGGACTGTTGTGGCAATTCCATGTACTAACCATGTCAAGTGCCTAGCCCGGTGTCTGGCTGAGTAAATGCCAGCTTCTCCTTGCTTCTTGCAGGAAAACGACACAGGTTTACACTCACTGTCCCACTGCCTCACTCCCACAAAGCGAGGACAAAGTCTAGCCTTACCGCCCATTTTCGAGCACTGAGAGCTGAGGAGGCAAGCAGGAGCAAAGGCCAGGAGCTGGGGGTACCTCATGGGCGCCAGGATGATCTGGTTGAGCAGACTGCGGTGCAGCCTCTTGGCCACCTTCAGCCCCGTCCACTCCACAGTGACAGAAGTGACAAGGCACAGCACGATGCCTAGGCTGCAGAGGACTGTGAACACCATGGCGTAGACTGTCTGGTCCAGGGTGCACTCCTAGATGGGGAGAGGGTTCCGGGTGTAAGGTGTAGGTGGGGCTCAGTTCCCTCCTCCACCATGACCCCAGCCTCCCCTCCATGGGGCAGCCGTTCACACCTGGGTAAGGGAGCAGTTCCTGGCAGTGGGGTTCAGGGTCAGGGCACTGTCAGTCCACTTGGCCAGCCAGTAGTCGATGGCTACCAAGACCATGTGCTTGAGCAGCTGGGAGAAGACAAGCAGTGACAGAAGCAGGACGCCGGCTGAGGACAGGTACTTGGCACAGGCTCGCCATGGGATCTTGGCACGCTGGTGTAGCACTGAAGACAGGCTGTCGTCCTCCTCGCTCTCGGCCACCTCCTCTGCAAGCCCCAAACCCGTCCCATGGGGCATTTTATACCCAACTTACAGATGGGGAAACTGAGGCACACCATAGCACAGGCTTTCATCAGAGGCACCCAAGTTCAGCTAGAACCCTTTGCCTGAGTCCCTGCTGTTTGTACCTTCCTCCTCTTCCTCATCCTGCAGGAGGCCGTCTCTGGAGGACATGGCCCGGGGCAGGCCCTGGGAGGGCTCCGTGACTTTTCTCTCCACAACAGTCTCCTGAAAGACAGATGGGGCCAGGCTCATGTTCCCCAGCTGTGCAGAGGAGAGAACGGAGGCTAGCAGGGCAACCATTCTCGGTGCTGCCCTGAGTTGAGCAGCCAGTTGGCTCCTGCCTGGGAGAGGTTCCAGACAGCCAAAGTTCACCCCTATGTCCTGATGGGGCGAAAGCACCCCAGTGACCCTGTGGGGAACTACCCCTCCCTTCCTGTAGTCTCTATGACTCGGGTGGGGCTGGCTCCTCTCCCTGTGAGTGGGGCACATAACCCAGGACTCGCCAGTCCCCACATTCTGCAGCCCTGGCTACCAGGATGCACCTAGCCATGGGCACAGGACCAGCTTCCAGGAGAACCAGTCCTGGGGCTCTGACTGAGCCCCTGTGACAGAGGCATCCCCTCTCTGGCCATGTCTTGAGCTGGGAGGAATGTGAGCCCATTACTTTTGCTGCTCCTCTCTCCTTAGTTTTAAGAGATAATCATTCTTTAACTTCCCACCATTTCCCCCCCCACCAGTTGGATTTGTTTTCTGGAACTTTGCAATGAAATGGTATTTCCTGGTGTCAGAATGAGGGAAAGGTGCCCCGGTGCTTTTGCCCTGGATGCTTGGCACAGATCTTGGCTCCCCTGTGGCAGGAGCAAGTTCATGCCTGCCCAGCTGCCATGTCTGTCCTTGGGAGTAGTGAGGCCAAGAAGGCCTGTCTGAATACACCTGCTAGCAGAGCTCTCCCTGCCAGAGCTGGCCAGCTAGACCCCTGGGGCGACCTCACCTTCTCCAGCTCTTGGTCCTGCCGGTTCATGAGGGTCTTCCAGTGCTCAAAGAGCTGACTCTCACACCTCTGGAAGTCCTTGAGGGTTCCCTCCCTCTGGATGGTGCCGTCCTTCATAGCAATGATCTAGAGGGGCAGAAGCATGCCATAGTGTGAGAGGGAGGCACACAGCCCCATCGCAACTGGGAGTGGCCTTTGGCTTATCTAGGACAGTGAGACCATCAGGAGATCCACCCTACCCCCTCACGCTCCCAGGTCTTGGAGCTGGGCACACTTCAACAGTCGAGTTGCACAGTAACTTGGTGCATCCTGGGCAAGCCCATGGTTCACTCATCAGGATGCCAGCAGCAGCTGCAATGTACATACAACCCTGGAGCCACCGGCAGGCTACCCTGTGTGCTGTGTGAGTGCATACACCCATGGTCACCAGCAGGCTACCTGGGTGCTGTGTGTGTGCACACCCCCAGGGTTGCCACCAAGCTAATCCTGGTTCCTCCTATGGTGACTTTCTAAGGTCCCGCCAGTGCTTGGCAAGACATTGGTTGGTCTGTCCATGTGAACATGCCTCTTTAAACCCAACAAAACTTTCCATTGGAAATATGCAGGGACAATACACAGTAGAATCAACAGGAGTAGACACCTACCCCAGCTCCCCTCGCCCCACCCACCCCACACTGGGCTTTCAGGAGAATGCCAGAGAATCCTGCTCCCTGACACCTCACAGATCTTCTGTGTCTGCCTTCTCAGATGGGACTACACTAAACAACCTTGTTGAGGTTGCTGCAGAAGAACAGAAACACATTTTGCACTTGTTCCAGGAGCTTTGAGGAAAAAAAAAATTTTGAGAATTTATCTGCTTTCACAGTAGAGGAGGGTCTCATTCATCACACATGGAAGGAAGACTTATTGGGGGTGGGCCTGAAGCTCAGAGAGGGCCTCAACTCCTGGCTGCTGCTTCCAGCAAAACTCTTACAGGAAAGGGAAGCACCTACATTTGGAAAGTCACACAATCACCTATCTTAAAAATGAATAGAAACAGTGTGATTAACCAAAAAGTGATGATTTTCATGGGGCTGGCTAATTCTCTGCTTGCAAGTGCAGGCATTCCCATAAGGGCATCAGTTCATATCTGGCTGCTCTACGTCTTGTCCAGCTCCCTGCTTATGGCTTGGGAAAGCAGTGGAGGATGGCCAAAAGCCTTGGGATCCTGCACCTGCATGGAGTACCGAAGATGCTTCTGGCTTCAGATGGGTTCAGCTCCTGCCGTTGTAGCCATTTGGGCAGTAAGCCAAATGATGAAAAATATTTCTTTATCTCTCTCTGTAAATCTGCCTTTCCAATAAAAATAAATGAATATTTGAAAGAAAAAAGAAAAGAAATAATTTTCTAGCTTCAGCAGAGCATGGGAACTGAGACGGTGTGGGGCCTCACATTACACTGACCCCTCTATGCCCATGCCCTGTATTTATCCTCTGACCCCAACATGAATCTGCCCTTGCCTCTGGGAAAGGCCAGTAGGTGGGAAAACAGAGCCTGCATTCAAATAGGTACCTCCTTCCCTACCCTGGCTGGAGGCTTTGCCTGGGAAAGAATCAGAAGGTGGGATCTGTGAGTCTGCTTCTTGCGGAAACCTCGGGCTGCCAGCATGGGATGCTCTTCCAGGGGCCCAGACAGCACATCTGGGTGTCGCCATCCCCTGGCCTACCTTGGATGTTTCTGAGCCTCACAGGCTGCAGGAAGCCATTACAGCGGAGACCCCTGACTGACTCCCTCAAAGCTGCCCAGCTGCATGTCTCAGCCCCTCCTTAGCTTGACCCCCTCCTGGCCCCTCACCCAGTCTGCATGAGGCAGGTACTGCAGCTTGTGGGTCACTAGAACCACGGTCCTCTTGTCATCCCGAAGCATCTCCAGGATCCCCACCTGCATCAAGTGGTCACTCAGATGGACGTCCAGAGCTGAGAACGGGTCATCCTACATGGAGGGGAGAGAATGGGGGCAGGTGTGAGGGAGGAGCTAACAGTAGTGTAAAACTTTTCAAGAGTTCTAGCAGTTTTGCTTGGGCTGGGGTGTGATACTAGCTAGCTGTGTGGCCTCAGGCACCTCCCTTAACCTCTCTGAGCCAGAGTTATCACTCTCAAACAGATGTGATCATTCGGTCCCTGACTCCTACACCATCAATGACTTCTCACCATCTATAAAGTCCATAGTACTCGACCCTTCACAAGCTTACTCTTCTGTCTTGCCTTGCTTCTCATCCATCTTCCCCAGGCTCCCGACAGGGGATAGATAGGTTTTAGAGGAACTGCCTCTTCAGGCCTCTGCCCTAACAGCTCCTTCTACCTGCAGTGCCATCTGCCTTTGGTCTGCCCAGTGATCTCTCATCCTTTACTTTACAAGCACCACTGCTGCCTGTGTCCTGTCCTGGCCCTCAGCCTCCCATTCACTCCCTCTCTGTGACAGAGGTACCCTGCACAAAGTTAGATCAGAGTTAGCTGTCCTAACCATGAGGTCCCTGAGCACAGAGACCCCCTTGTGCCTACACGTGGCAAAGAGCAGGGGCTTAGGAGAAGTTTGTGGAAATGCCACCACTCACATTACTTTAACAGGATTGCTTGAATTTCAAGTGCAAGCATGCACAAGTCAGCACTTTGCACAGGGTTGTGGGTGTGTCAGATGGTAACAGAGACAGTGAATTTTTACATTAGATAGTGTTGTAGGCAAGAATTGCTCGTGTGTGTGTGTGTGTGTATGCACACATTTGGGAGCACATGTTGAGGGGAGGAGAGAATGAAGCTGAGGTCAGAGACCTGAGGTTCTTTCTTCCAACTCCCTGTCCACATCGCTTCCCTCTCCCTTCCTGTCCAACTGATTCTTCAAGGCCGTCCTCAGGAAGCCTTCCCTGGTGGTGTCAGCCCTCAGAGTCATCTTTCTGGACAAGGGCCCTCATAATCTGTGCTACAAGTTGGTTTTGAACTTGACTGTACATCTTGAATGTGGGTGAGTGTTGTCTCTCTAACCAAACTCCTAGTCTGTGAGGTCAAAGGCTGGATGGGGCTTAGCATTAGCCAAGATGCATCTTAGCCAAGATGCTGATGTAGAACGTGGTGTCAAATAGGGCAGGGGTAGCTAGTAAGTTTCATCTCATGGTTGATATGTGTTGGTTCTCTAAAGAAGGGTTCTGAGTTCCATGGGAAATAATACAGCGATCAATTAGTGATGCTTGCTTTGGGCATACAGTGGGAAGCAGCAGCAGGAACAGCGTGTGTTCCAAGTATTTGCTCACCAGGCGGTTGAATTGTATAAGTGTTGACAGCCTGGAGCTGCCCATAGAGAGGCAGCCTGAGCTACTTGTCTTCCTTGCTGGCTATTGCACAGCTCAGAGAGAAGTCGGCCGTAGTGTTCTTGCCTGCCTGTTCTTTTCCTACCAAAAGAGCAGGGAGTCTCAAATGGAGTGGTTTACTCCTGGAGGCAGTTGTTACATGATGCCACCTGGGTGTGGGTGTGTGTTAGGTCAGTGAAGTGGTCCCTCTTGGATCCCTCTGCACAAGGGGGACCAGTACCACATACAAGGGCCCTCAGGTGTGTGCCCGCTGGTAGACTCACCAAGAAGACAACGTGGGTGTGCTGGTAGAGTGCACGGGCCACGCTGATCCGCTGGCGCTGACCACCAGACAAGTTGATGCCCTGTCATCAAAGAGGAGGAAATAGTCATGCCCTTGGCCACTCAGGGGAGACTGACCCCTCCGGAGGGTGAATCCATGGGACAGAAGCCCGGTTCTCACCACCACATGGCCCAGCTTCTCCTTGTGCATACAAAAGGAACTTGAACCTGTCTCCTTACTTCATTGGGAAGGGGACAGCATGACTGCTGAATTTTGAAGACTCAACATGCAGATAGCAGGGACCAACTGTCCACTGTCCAAAAAGACAGAGGAAGTGGGCTTGAACTTATACACGAAGGGGGTAGCCACAGGAAAATCTTATTTGTCTATGTTTATGGAAAGGAGAACAAATAGGAACAGCACAACCTCTGACCCAGGGCAGAGTAGAGTTGGCCCTCAGAGCACATGGAGGAAGGCGACCTTGTCATCCTCTCTCTGGCCTAGGATGATGACCTTACCCCCTAAACAAGCCTGAAAACCCATCCAGGGAATTCAGCCTCAAGAAATGATGGTTGACTCCACTGCAAGCTTTCCCCTCACTCCTGGTTTCCAGTTACCCAGTCTCTCTGTGAAGGACCTTAAAACCTGGTGGGATGTGGGTGTGCAGGAGATGAGACCAGGGCAGGGAGCCTGGCTCGGAGAGACTGACTAGATGGCTATACTAACCCGCTCCCCAATCTGGGTCTGGTCTCCATGGGGCAAGATGTCGATGTCCGGCTGCAAGGAGCAGGCTTCGATGACCGTCTTGTACCTGGAGCAGGCGGGGGTGGGGGTGCAGCCCATCAGCTTGGCCTGTGCTTTCATGGATGAGTGCCTGGGGAGCTGCAACCCGGTGCACGTTGCCTTTGATGGGCCTCCCGTGTGGGTGCAAGCAAACAACACGTGAGCTCAGAAAGAGCTGAGGTCAGCACCCCACACAGTCATGGGGAAGATTAAATATTTGAAAGGCAAAATTGGATGGGAGCAAATATGCCAAGTAAGTGCCCAGAGCAGGTATGCGGCCGTGGGGAAGTTTGAAAAAACCATAGCTAGAGCCCGTGCTTGGGCTGCCGCCTGGGAAAATCACTGCTGGCTGGTTTTGACAGTAATGATGATGGCTGGGCAAATATTTGTCCAGCCTACTCCTCTCAGCCTCCTCCTGGTCAGCCTGTCACCTGGGTAGGTGCCAGCTGGGGGCCACGAAAGCCTCAGAGTGGCTTGGCGACAAGCTTGCACGTAGGTGTCTGTTGCTCATTTTTGGATATGAAACCCATTGCAGTCACTTCCTGGCTCAGAAGGCTTGGACAAGAACATAACCTTTTTTTTTTTAATTTACATATTTAATTAGCCTGAGTCGCATAGAAACTGATACAGATCTCCCATCTCCCCAGATCTCTGCAAGAGCTGAGAACTCAGTCTAGGGGTCTCATGTGGGTGGCAAGAATTTAACTAGCCATCACCTGCTGCCTTCCAGGATACAGGAGGCTGGAATGAGAGCACAGCTGGGATGCAAACCCAGGTATCCCAATAAGAATTGCAGGGTGGTCCAAGTAGCACCTTAACCATTGTACCAAATGCTCATCCTTATTTAAGCTTTCTGAGCCTTGGCTTTCTCACCTATAAAGTGGAGATAACAACAGTACCGGTCCACTGAGGTGGTTGTGAACCTTAGAGGAAATTGTGTATCCAGAGAGCTGAGCCTGGTGCCTGGCACCTGCTAAGAGCTCAATTGATGCTGGCTGTTGTGATCACTGGAGGGAAACAGGACCCCAGTCTCAGAGCTGGGGTGGGAATCGCAAAAGCAGGCAACCCTGGGGAGAGAGGATCTGCCTGCATGCCAGCCTCAAGTGAGGCCAGCATCACTCTCCCTCCCCTCCCCCAGCACTGGAGCTCTTCCAGATGGACCATATGGAGCTGGCTGGACTCCAGGGCAATGGCCTGGAGAGCAGGGTGTGGGTGATGGGGGAGAGGCAGGGCTCTGTGCTGGGGCTCAGGGCCTACCCCCCCTCCCCGCTGCCCGCCTGTCTTCTGCAGGCTTTTACCGCTGCTTGTTGAAGGGGCTCTCAAAGGTGATGTTCTCTTCCACAGTGGCGTTCAGCAGCCACGGCTTCTGAGAAGCATAAGCCACGGGGCCTCTTTTCCTGGAAGCAACAGGGGAGGGTTGGGATTGGGACCTCCCTGGGCGCTCATCCTTAGAGGGGCTAATCCAGCCAAGGGCTTAGACCAGCGTAAGGGGTAGCGCCCAGATGGAAGATACTCTTAGCCTGTTGACTGGAATCTACTGTTGGCTTCTAAGTGGTCTCTTCCATACCATCTCCAAGGCCTGACCAGCTTTGGGAGTTCTGAGTCCCAGCTGATTGGGGGAGACCTCATTTGTTCCTGCTCAATTCCCAGCCAGCCAGGGACCTCTGATTTCCTCCCAGCAGAATTGGCCTGGAACCACTCCATCCCACATCCATGTGCTTTTATAAAGTGGAGCCAAGGCTATCAGTGTGATGTGCTGTTAGGGCCCCCGGTTCCCAACAGTGGCAGGGAGCAAACAGCAAGATGGAAGTAGTGGTAGCTCTCAAGCCACCAGTTGCAGGACACAGTTCCTCCTGACCAACCCCAGTACCCCAGCAACAGGAGATGGGTCTTGAGGCCACTCTCCAGGGCCACGTGGTTCCCTCTATGGACAGTGCTCCCAGCACCTGGTACCTGACGTCTGAGTCGGCTGTTGTCTCCTGCTCTGGGCTGCAGAAGGGAAGAAAGACAACTGTCAGAATCCTCCCTCCATGCCACAAAACCCCTCCGGGTTTGTTCTGCGATACAATCTGGAACTCCCTCAGTCCCCACCTGAGCCATCACCCCTGAAGCCAAGTTCACAGCCCCAAGGGTTGCACAGAGAGGTGTGGCAGGGGTGGGGTAGGGTGGGTAAGTGCGTGTGGCCATCCTGGGAGAGCCTCCCAGCCTGTCTGTGGACTTGGGTGTGGGAGGAGGTCCAGGGTCCTGGTTAAGAAGGACAGAGGAAGAATGGGACACATGATCCTGCTGGATCAGAGGAGGATGCGGTCCCCTGCGTGGTCCCATCAGGCTCAGCCTCTGCACTGGGTTCGGATGAGCAGGCTGAGGTCTCGGGCAGAGAGCTGCACCATGGCAAGGGTAGGGAGCTGGGATGGGCCAACAGTGGCAGCTGCACTTTGTGGCCAGGAACCCAAAGCTGACAGAGCTGATAAGGGCACTGAGTAAGGTCGTAGTCACATGTGGCCTTGTCAGAAGACAACTGTGGCATATAGGGACTCTGCCAGGGAAGCCTCATGAGCCACAGGGCCCATGGCTGCAGCACAGCCCAAGCTGCCCTCAGTGTCAATGGTGGTGTTACTGTGTTCTTGTCATGCAGGCTTGTACTTGTCACATGCCACACCTGACCTTTGGCTCGAGAAGTGAGAACACTGTGGCTGGATGGGCAGGGCTGTCATCACGCCCAGGCACTTGGGAACAAAGTGGGAGAAAGGGCGGAGGCCATATCAGGAAGTGGGGCCCATGTGGTACTGGAGAGGAAGGTGGGAGGTTTGGCCTAATTGACAAGGGCGGTCTTGCCTGCTTGCTGCCCTGTTTCTCTCCACTGAACTTAGGACACGTGGGGGCAGGAGGGTGTTTGGAGCCTCAGCAGTCTTGCTCTGTGCCTTGAGGCTTATGCATGGAACAAATCAGCTAGGCCACTATGTCTAGCTCCTCTTTTGACCATCTTTCAGCTTCTTCCTAGAGGTATTGTCATGTATTTTCTAACTATCTCTTCCCAGAAGCACTCTCTCTATAGCTCAGCAATTTTTTTTTTGTTTTTAACATATTCACAAGGCTGTGTGGCCATCACCACCAGCTAGCTCCATCCATCACAGTCATCAACCAGTCACCCCCAAAAACCTCCACAAGCATTAGCAGCCCCTCGTCTCTCTCTCCACTCTCTGACAACTAATAATCTACTTTCTGGTGGTATCCACTGTGAAATACTAACCCCACAGATATGCTGACTCTTGTTCACATATTATGAGGCCCTTTACATGGGCACAAAGCATTGCAATGCCCACATCCCCCGCCATGCCCTTACTGAGAATGCATTGCTTTGGTTCTCCAGCTCTGAAAGCAGGCTGCTAACCACGCCCACAAGCCTCCCATCACCAGCTGGTCCCTTCCCTTCACTGGGACCCATTTCTCACCCAGTTCCGTGGCTGTACCTGTGGTCATCCCCCGTCTCACTGTCAGCAAGGCTGTTGAGACACAGAAGAGAGCGGTCACAACTCACTTAGTATCTCATTACCTTTGCATGAAATCTGATCTTCAGAAAGAAGCAATCTCCACCCTCCACCCTCCACCCTCCTACTCTCTCACCCACATCTGCATACCAAATAGCTTTTGGGGATCAGGTACTGTTCTTCCCAACCCCCAACCCTCCCAACAGCCCCTGGACAGGCACCTTCCAAGCAGCCTGCACATGACATCAGTGTACTTGGCAATGACACAGAGACGCCGTGAGGCTTCTGAGGTGTCAAGATTGTTGGCAAAACTAAGGCTCAGAGAAGCAAGGGGATTCTCCCAAAGTCACAATCATTTCTCATAGTGCTTCTCAAACTGTGCACAGGAACCCAACAATCAGGTAGGTAGACTACCGTGGCTCTGAACCAGAGGTGGGGGAAACATCCGTGTGTGCTCACGTGGGTAAGATCTTTCTTATGTGGGTCAAGTCTTCCCTCTTACCAACCCATGCATGAGCATGACTGAGAGGACCATACTATAAACTGCATTCTGCATCATGGGTCAACCCAGGGGACATTTTTGGAAAACACCAGGTGGGGTGACCTGAATTGTGAGCCAATTTGGCCAGTGTTCCTTCTGCTCCAGGCCATGGCTTTCTAGGAACCAGAGAAGTGTGTGCTCTTGTTATGCACAGGGGTGACAATCCTCTCCGGGCCATGCAGATTTCACTCTTATTACAGTGAAAACAGCCAGCAGTTACTGAACTTCCTAAACCCTGGGGCAAGACTGCAACAGGTTTATCTCTTTAGATGTTTAGATAAAGGTTTCTAACTTTACAGACAAAGCAGTGAGACACAGAGCCGAGTCATTTGCCCAGCCCCTCCGCCAGCAAGTGGCAGAGCCAGTAGATCTGACTCCAGCGCTTTCTGCTCCTGTTGTCCACAGCACATGATTTCCCCATGGCCTTCCTGCCCCATAGCTCTAAAATGTTCCTCCCTGCAGGAACTCCAGGATGGCCGACACCAGGGAGAGGAAGGAGCCTGACCAAAATCCCTCTTGGGCTGAGGGCAGAGGACCAGAGGCAGAGACCCCTGGGCTATGTGGTTGCCTGGCCTCTCCATCCTGTTCTTGATCTCTGCGGTCTCATTTCACTCTCTCAAGCTTGCATCCATCTCACCAGATTGCTGTAATTTACAATTTGCAGATAAGTTGGTAATGTGAGACAGATAAAACCATTAAGCTGATGAATTCCAGCTCTGCAGCCACAGCCCCCATGAACAGATCCCTGGAGTCCTCCCAGCTTGACTGCTTCTGGGTCACAAAGTTGTTATTCAAGCCTTCGTGGCAGTGGCTCTCAGAAGACCAGGCTCCAGCCCTAACTCGGTGGGTATTATGATCTGGATCAATTACCCTCCTAATGGGCAACCTTGTTCCCTGATCAGCTCGGGGGTGGACCTGTCACCCGAGTGCATATCAGGGCTGGCAGGGCCTGTCAGCCCCCATAGTGTTCAAATCTGTAACAAACAGAAGCAGCTGACTCTCACAGTGATCACTAGAAGGAAGGAAGGGAGCGGATGAACACCGTGCAAGGCTGACCACACTCAGCAGCTTCTGGCAACCCTATCTCTTCATCCTCACTTTATAGGCGGGGAAACGGAGGCTCAGAGCTGGCACATCTGCCCAAACTGATGCAGCACCAGGAGGAGGGGAAGTTGGGGAGTGAGGCCAGGGTCAGATTCTCTTCTCAGCATGTCCCCCAGTCTCTTAGCTTGAGTATCTGTAAAGCTGTGGTGTATCTACCTGAGCAGGGAGGCATGGCATGGAGTAACCAACTGTCAGGCACTTCCTCCTAGTGAGTGCTGAGATTTCTCAGTGAGGGGGAGAACATTCAACTCGCCCTCTGTCTACACTTTGGGGACCAAGCCCTGGATTGAAGGGATGTTTCTCTCGGTTCTCTAACCTCACGACCTTCCTCACGACAGTCAACTGGAAGCTAGGTAGGTGTTGCACCAACCTGAACCAGGGCACAGAAACTGTCCTGTCAGGGCTTACAACCTGGCAGGGCAGACTGCTCAGATAAAGAAGTCAGGAAGTTGTAAGAACTGAGAAGAGCAGGAATGGCAGAGTACTGGAGAACTTTCTGAGGCACGCACTGATGCTCAGAGAAAAGACCAAAGGCTTCTGGGTGATGCGGTGTTGGGTGGTTTTTATCCTTTCTATGCTTTTTCTCCTAATTGAATGGGCATTTTTTAAGGGTAAGCAATCTAAGAAAAACATGATTTTAACAAAGCAGTTTGGAGGAGAAGGAAATCTAAGACAATAAGGGAAAGTATATAGAGAAATTGACAGCTAGGAAGAACTCTGATGGACAGGAAGGAGTGGGACAGCGAAGGCGGAATGGGGACAGCATCGGGAGACAGGCAACGAAGAGGCTGGGGAGGAGGATGGGTTCCAAGCACGTGTGTGCTTCAGGCTGCTCTGGTCACTGTGAAGTCCAAAGCTCCTGTACTTAGAGGAACTTCTCTGTAAAATGGCAGTGAAGGTAAAACCTCACAATGATACAGCTGTCACTGGGTCCCAAGGCCAAATCTCCCAGGGAAGAAATCCAGGATCTTCCTCATGTCTGGAGGAGGAGACAGCATCCGAGAGAGGTGACATGACCTGCCCAAGGTTACAAAATTGGCAGAGGCAGAATCAGGACTGCACCTGACACCCTCTGGTCCCCAGGTAGGCCTGCCTCCAGGCGTTGCTTCTGCACACTTCCCTCCTCCTGTCTGCCGACTCACTCACTTGCTGCACCTGCCAGGAAACACTGGTGCATCTGAGCATCTGGCACCAGCTCTTCCAAGGCTCCAGGAACCTCATGGGCAGATCAGACCAACCAGGGTCTCGGCAGGCAACAGACCCTGGGCCTCCAGAGTGGGCACAGAGAGACGGGACAAATAGTCCACATGGGAGGTTTCATTAGGGAGTGCCCTGAGACAGGAGCTGCAGCCCCACTTGGGGCAGCAATCTTGAGCCAGTTCCTCAGGGCTTTGCTTCCTGTTGGCTCTGTAGCAGCATTAAAGGGCACTCCACCATGCAGAGTAATGGCCTTGGTCTTTATTCCTAGTAAAATGTATGCACTAATATTGACTTTCCATTAAAACGTTTTCCTCTTAAGATGGCCCAAGTGCTGGGGCCCCTGCCACACATGTAGGAAACCCAGATGGAGTTCTGGACTCCTGACTTGGACCTGGCCCAGTCACATTTAGGGAGTGAACCAATGGGTGGAAACCTCTCTCTGTCAGGCTGCCTTCCAAATAAACATAAGCAAAACAAATGTTCTCCTTTAGGGATTCAGGGTGGTGGTGATGGTGGGGTGTTTGCAAATTCCCAAGTTGACAATTCACACAGAGCCAAGCAGGGACAGGGAACTCTTACAGGAAATGTTTGTGAGCCCCATGGCCCTGAGGCCCTGGATTCAGGCTCCACACCAGCAGGATCACACCGTGGATCCTGCATGCTCCCCCTGGGACTGTCTCTACGTCCCTTTCCACCTAAGCCTTGTAAGCAAGGGCAGTGAGCAGATCTCTGCCTCTGTAGCCTCCACAGGGCAGCTGCATGTGGACTCATCCCCCAGGATCCCAGGAGGAGGAAGATGAGATGATGTACCAGCACATCATCACAACATGAGCCAGGCACTCCACCCCAGTGGGCAGAGGAATTTCTGGTTTAGGGAAACCCTGTGGGAGGGAGAGAGCTCAAGAGGTCTTTATAATGTCAGACAGCACCTTGAAGGCTGTAAGCTGTTCCTGGTTCAACCTTTCTGCGAATGACTCAGTTAGCAAGGCACCAGGGCTACAGAGAGATAGGACGTGATTCATGTCTCCAGGGAGCTCACTGCCATCTCTCTCAGGAGATAGCCTGGAGTATAATTAGAGAGCCTCAGTGGGATTTTGTTTCTGGCAAAGGATGCTGTTGAGTAATGATATTTGCAAGGTATTCCCTCCCTGCTTGGTGCATCCTCCCATCAACCTTGTGGGTCACAGAGGGGGAAACTGGGGCTGACATAGAGGTCATTGTCTGTTCTAAAGCACACAGCCCAGATCTGAGCTTGACAGCCTGGCTCTAATGTCCCAGATGATCCTTGCCCAGCCACTGCTCCCTTGGTCAGTGCTGGAGTAAACAACGCCTTGTGCCAATCAACTAAGCACCTTCTCTGTGCTGGATCTCTAAGCCCCTCCACATCTGCCTGCTGCCTCTTGGAACTTTCTGGCTGCCTGGCTCCCTGGACTTGGCCCTGCTGTGAGTGAAAACCATGGGAGCAGCCCCTACATCATCCTTGCCTCTGGCTGCAGAAAGTGGAGCTTGGGAGCAGTGGCCAGGTTGGTCCCCTTAGCTAGTGTATCAGCTCTCTGTGGACCTGGCTCAGTGACAGCTCCAGGCGGTCACCAAGGGGAACCCCCATGTGCAGTTCCCCTGTGCTTCGTTCACTGTCCAAGACAAGTGGCTTAGCAGAGCCAGGATTGGGGGAGAGGGCAAACAGCTGATGAATCCAACTAGATCATGTCTACCTAGAGTCTCCCTCCTCTTAGCCACTGGGATGCATTCTTAACTGTGTATCCCTTCTCCTCCTCCCCCAACTCTCTCCTTCTCTTCTTTCTGCATCACCAGCACGCTTCTATAGCCTTTCAGTAGAATCTTATTTCCTGGGTCTGAAAAGTCTGATCTCAGACAAGCTTACTGCCTCAGTCCCATCTCCAACCCGCACACACCATACATCTAGTGCTCTGGCTGGTAGAATCGTTATTACCAGCAATCCACTGCTCACACTGCCACCCCTGCCTGTGACGCCTTCATCTCCCAACACTGTATCTTAAGTGTCTCTGCATTCCTGATCCTGGACACAGGATCTGGTACACAGCAGGTGCTCAATAAATGAATGAAAAAACTAGAGCAGGAACACACACTCAGCTTCCTGTGAACTAACCCGATGCCCCTCCCTAGCTAAGAGAGAGCAAAGTGGATCCTGCAGAAAGGAGAATTTTCTCACCACCTCCCCTTCCCAAGGATCCAACAGAGCCGGGGCTGGGGCCTGGGACACCGTGAAGGAAAATAGGTGTTGACAATGAGGACAGAGCTGAGAGACCTGGGCAAACGGCTCTGCTGAGGAGGCAGGTATGTGTGTGTGTTAACACGGTCAGCGATGCTCTGTGCCCCTGCTCTTGGGACACTAGGGGAAAGCCCCTGTGTTTGGGTACCAGATTCCACTTCTGCTGCCAAAAGCACTGTGCGGCCTTGGGTGACCTGTTTCGCCTCAGTTTCCTCATCTGCAAAAGGGGCTCATAATCACAGCTGTCATACAGAGTTTAGTGAAGACTGGCTGAGGCAAGGAAGTACCTGGCACAGTGCCTGGCACATCCTGAGGGGCTCAGTGTGTGCTGCCCTGGAGGAGGTCCTTGTGTCTCTGGGTGAGAACTTGAGGGCTGGTACAGCTTGTAGAAGAGGTGGAGGCCTGGCTGAGCCCCAGCCACATATGACTGCCACATCGGCGGAGCATAAGGAGAGGTGCTGATGCCGGCATAAGGGCACCAGAAGTGGGTCAGGAGTGGAGGAGGGGGCAAAGAAAGAAGGCAATGGATGTGGCTGGTATTTAGGGCAGTGTTGTTACTTGGGATGCCGACACCTCATACCGCAGTGCTGGTTTGAGCCCTGGTTCCTCTGCTGCACATCCAACTCCCTGCTAATGTGCACTCTGAGGGAGCCAGTGATAGCTCAAGTACTTGGGTCCCTGCCACCCATGTGGGAGGCCCAGATTGAGTTCCAACATGCTGGCTTCAGTCTGACCTAGTCCCAGCTGCTGTGGGTATCTGGGAGTGAACCACTGGATTGGAAATCTCTGTCTCTCTGAGTTGCAACTAAAGTGAAGATAAATAAACAAAAATTAACAGAAGAGAAGAAAGAGGGTAAAGGGACCAGGGGAAGCAGTTTTGATTTTCATGCTGAGCAGAACACTGGCAGCCCAGGGGAGCCCAGGGTCAGCTACAATCTCTGAACTCTGTATTCCCATCTAGTAAAAAGTCTGCCCGCATGGCTGACATTGTGGTGTAGTGGGTTAAGCCACTACTTGCAATGACAGCTCCTATATAGGTGCCAGTTCAAGTCCCAGCTGCTCCACTTCATTTCCAGCTCCCTGCTACTGTGCCTGGAATAGGACTGGAAAATGGCCCACATGTATGAGGCCCTGTACCCACATGTGAGACTTGGAAGAAGCAGCTGGCGCTTGGCTTTGTTGGGGCCTTGACTGTTGCAGCCATCTGGGGAGTGAAGGTGCAAATCACTCTCTAGCTCTCCCTTCCCTCTCTTTGTAACTCTACCTTTCAAATACCTTACAAAAAAGGACAGAAAAGATAAAATGAAAACGCCTCCTGGGAGGAGGGCACAGATCCAGTCTGCTCTCTAAGATTAACTCCTGGATCTGGGGTTCCCAGGACTCCAGCTCAAGGCAGTGGCCAGGATTGAGGAAAAGAACTTAGGTGTAGGGTCCCTGTTCCACACAATGGCCTGCCAGGCACCCAACCTCTCTAAGCCATAGTCCCTGCCTCTATGAAATGAGTGAGAACACACACCTCCAGGCCTAGGGGGCTCATGCTTACAGTGTGCTTGGCAGAGGGACTGGAAAAATGGCCACAAAGCCAACACCTGAGTCTTCCTGTCAGACTGTGCTGAATTTCACCCCATAAGATGGAGAATGGGGGTAGGGACACTGTTGTCCTACACAATACCACAGTCCACAATGTGGTTAAGGCCAAGAGATGCACCAAGACTTCAGGAAACCAGGGGCTCACCTGCCAGTCCTGCCAAGAAGGGAACCTTGCTTTCTATTGGTCAGGGGCAACACCCAGGACATTATAGAGACAGGAAATGGGGGCTGCCTGCTGGTATCTAGAAGTGGGGCTCAGGATGTTCCATTCTGCTTCATGCTTATGAAAACATGGGATTCCAAATGATCATCCTTCCTGGAAATGACTGGAGGGAAGACCTATCTTTCTGCAGAATTGGCCATGACCTTTATTCTGGAACAAGAGTTGCCAGCCCGTATCGGATGCTCTTTTTCCTTAGCTCCGGTGCCAGGCTTGGTGCTATCCTCTGCCCAGCTTTCCAAACACCTCGCAACCCTCCTCATACCTCAGCTCTTTTCTTGCCTTTTTTGAAAGGTTCTATTTTATTTGCATGCTTTATAAAAGAGATTCAAGTGCTTTTTGGACATCGATGAACATAAATAATTGATTTATGATTGATTCAGCTCAAGCTTCTGGCTCTTTAATTAAGATCATGATCTTTTTCCAGAAACCAACTTTTGTCTGGGCTGTCTCATGCTCCTTCAGGCACCCACTGAATGATCAGTGTCATTTCTGCTGTGGCTCACGGTGGCACTGCAACTTTCTACCTTGGGAGGCACAGTTGCTGAGCATACAGGGCAATTGGAGTCACCCAGAACTGAGTTCTAATTCTGGCTCTGCCACCTGTTAGCTGCATGAATTAGGCCAAAGGGTCTGCTCCTTACCCATAAGGTGAGAATTGATGGTAACCTTCACATTGCTGATTATCACAGGGATTAAATGAAGTAAGGCAAATTGAAGATCTAGCAAAGAACCCAGCACATAGTGAGGTTTGGATAAATACTAACAATAGTGATGAGAAGAACAATGAGCAGCATTTATTGAGTACACAGAGAGTGCCTGATACATGCATGGTAGGAAAGAGGAGCACCTGCCAGAGGGTGCATTCCTTACCTGTTCCAGAAGACGGCCCCTGAGACCTTCTGCATCTCCCCCAGTGTGGCAAGCAGCAGCGAGGACTTGCCGCAGCCCACCTGCCCCACAATCATGGTCAACTGGCCTGCAGGGAGAGACAGAGGCGTGTCTCATTATCCAGAAAGACAACCAGGCAGACACCCTCGGCCCTCTCCCCCAAATCCCTGTGACATCCTCCTTCCACTCTGAGCCTTTCCTCCCCCACATCCATGCCCTCCTCTGGCTGCACAGGATCCCTTCCAATCTGCTACCTGCCCCCTTCCTTCCTCCGCATGCCCTTCTCACTTCTGATGCTTCCCAGTGTGAGCCCAGCCCCTTGTGTTCCCCTGGGGACCATCCTGGTTCTCAGCCCTGCAGTGGGATCATGACACTGCTCATGATGGGACAGGCTGGCAGGGACCTCACTCATTCTCAGAAACCTCCTTCCTCACTATGCCTCTCTTGGTTACTCCACTGGGCTCCTTCGAGAACTGAAGTCCCTGTCCCTGCTCCCCAATCTGGCCTGCCCTGTCTGTGCAGCCGAACTTGTCTATGGATTTGTCTCCTTCTCTACATGTCAGTGCGATATGGTGATAAGCCTGATAGGGGAGAGTTGAGCTGTACCTCGGGGGATACGGATGGTGATGTTGGACAGTGTTGGGAGTCCATCAGGGGTCCAGGTAAAGAAGCCTCCGATGATCTTTGTAGGCCACACCCCATCGCGTGGAAGAAAACAGACAGGCAGCTGGAGGTCTCAGGTGTCTCTTGCTTCCTCACTCCCATGAAAGTCAAAAGACACTGACTGATCGATTCCAGCTCCCAACTTACTTCTGAGCCAGGTGAGGGAGCTTGCCCTGTCCTGCTGATCCCTGCCCAGGGCACCCTCCCGAGAAGATAACTCCGTGGAGTCTCTGCTTTTAGGACTCAAAGGGACCCTCCAGGCAGACAGGCAAGGAGGCCTCTGGAACGCAGACCCAGCAGCTTGGTCTCTGGCCACTGGACCTGTTCAGGTGCAGCCTGTACATGTTGAGTCCAGGGCTCACCTGGACACAACAGTTGTCGGTGTCGCCTTCTGCGTTGGGGGCCAGCCTCTGCAGGGGGTTCATGAGTTCCCGACAATCCTCTCGGGCCGGGCGCTTGCGGTTCACCACCTTGAGGGGCTGGGGATGGTCAGGAGATGAGGGTCCATGGGAAGAAAGGTTGAGGTTGGACGTAGCCAGGCACGATTGGCAGACTGTACAGGATAAGCCTGGGAGCAGCCAGGGAGGCTGGGCACTCACCACCGCCTGGTACTTGCTGGCTTGGCTCTGGGGGGTTGGCTCCCGGGGGGCACACTGCTCCTCACGGATCTCTGCGCTGGACAGGAACTCGCTCAGCTTCTGTACGCTGCAGAGGAAGCACAGAGATGCCCCTCACCCCTGCCAGGGACAGAGGAGAGGGGCAGGGAGCAGGACATGCATGGCCCAAGAGCACAGCTCCCAGAAGATTCCTGTCCTGAGATGTGGCTCTTGCAAAGCCCATGCTGGAGGGGCTGGACCAGCACCTCCAAGAGACAGGTCATGGGCATGGTCAAGGTGTGTTAGCCTGGGGCTGGAGCAGGTCAGGGTCTGGATGAGAGGTGGGATTGGTTTGTTTTAGAATTAGAGGTGGGATGGGTTAGCTGGGATGACTAAACTGAAAGATGATCAGTACTGGGCTTATTAGTTACTGTCAGAGCTAAAGTTAACCTGTGGGAAGAGTTGCTAACTTAGCATTGGTTATTAACCACAGTAAAAAATGTGTAGGCAGCTCCCACACACCACCAAGTTAATTGCTTTATAAGCAGGATAAAATCTAAGTCCCATTGCAACCTGTTGTGGGGGTGGGTGGGACCCTTCCCTTCCCTCCCCTCCCCTCCCCTCTTCTCCCCTCCCTTCCTCTCCTCTCTCTTCCCCTCTTCCTCCCTATCTTCCCTCTCTCTTCTCCCCAATTGCCCTGTGGATTCTGCTGAGGCCCTGGACTTATCTCTTTCAGTTCCTTCTCTCTCATCCCGGGGAGTTGGGAACCATCTAGGGAGGCTTGAAACTAGTCTGTGTTCCCATTTTCTCCCTTTCCCTAAACTTATGACAGCTTGGAACAAGACCATTCCAAAACTTAGGGAAAAACAGCCCGGGCTGCAACCAGGCTGTGGTTCAGTGCACCTGACCCTGGGAGGAGCGGACATCAGGCTCCTGCCTGCTCACCCCCATCCTCCCTCTGGAACTCTCCCTGCAGTTTTGGTGAGTGGGAAGTGTGGCGCTGATCTTCAGCTCTTGAAGTGGAGCGTCAGGCTGTGTCTCATCCTGAACTTCCTCCTTAAAAAGGCCTTGGCTCCCCTGGTGCTCTGTTCTTAGAAGTCACAGATTGAAACAAGAGAACATTGGGACAGGCCCAACAGAGTTTTAGCGAGTGTAGGATCCTGGAATCTTTGTTTTCTACACAGAACCACAGGGCTGGAGCAGAAGTGGCAGGGAGGGGGACAATAACCCAAAGTCATAATGCCTTGGTCTATAAACAGTGAAGAGAGCTGAGCTAATCACACCGTCAGGCCAGTTGTTCAGGTCGGATCCTTCTTGAACCATCATCTCACTGAGATGTGCTCCCTTCCATCTTGGGGCCCCTACTAGTGCTTCTTCATGCAAGTTAGTCCTCCACCAGCTACTCCATTTCAACAGCTACTCCTTTGCTACCAGCTGCCCAGAAACACCCCTCCCCCTACCCCACCACTGCCATGATTCAAGGATGCCACTTCCTTCTAGGCTGAAGAAGGCACATTTGTTACCAACTGCTTCCACTAGCACAGGAAAAGGACAACCAGCTCCCCCAGAGACGTGTCAGGCCCTGGATGACAGGAGCTATTTCAGAGGACCGAAGAGGTCTCCACGAACCAGGCATGGTATTCCATAGCCAGTGGCACAGCCCTCCACCTCCAGATCTCACTCTCAGAGGATGATGCCTTCGGGAGAGTGGCTACATTACCACGGGGCCTGGGAATAGGGAACTCTCAAGGTTGCAGGCCAACACATCATGACCAGCAGGCACTCGGGGACATTGCTTCCCTGACAAGGGCTGGCAAGGCTCTGGGAGTCTGGAAACCCCAGAGGATGCTAGCTGGTGAAGAGAGGCATTCAGGGGGATACCTTCTGGCATCCAACGGGCTGCCATGTAAGGGCACTCATTCTGGAAGCAAAACTAAATCAGTGAGTAGAATTTACGAAGATGCCAAGCTGGCACAACAGAATTTTTCAGAGTTGTCTTGGTAATGACAAGGGATAGACTACAACAGGTTCTCTGCCAGGACGGTGTGCCAGGAACCCCCAAGGCTGGTGTCTTCTGCCCAGCCAAAGCCAGCTTCCTGGAGACCTGGATCAGCGGGGTGGGGGTGGGGAAATCCTGGGAACCAGCAGCCATGACTCCAGGGGTCGTTAGGGCAAGTTCTGGGGCTGGTGTGTGAGCTGTCCTCACAGTGCCCCAGCCTAGCGCCTTCTCTCACCTCACCAGAGCTTTGACTGTTGAGCGGACCACACTGGAGAGCAGAAAGAGCGGAGTGACCAGGATGTGGAAGAGGGACAGGGAGGCGAAGGCCACTGAGGGTGAGAAGTCGGCCCCTTTGAAGAAACTGACGTGGCCCACGAAGGTCTGGGAAGAGAAGCATGGCTCGGCATGTGGGCCCTTTTCATCTGGGAAGCATTCAGCCCCTCTGCCCCTGTTAGAGACACCCTCATCCTTCTCCTGTTGAAATATCTCCAGCAAGTGCAGGACATCAAGCTGCAGAGCAGGACTGACAAAGCCCCTCCCGGGCCAGTGCTGCCCCCTCTTCCCGCAGCAGCCTAGCACCAGTGGGAACCAGGGTAGACACAGGAGATGCGAGGTCAACTCCCTGCCATGCCTGACCGGGCTACCTGGCAGTCCCAGAGGCCCCAGTTACCCACAATGCCCCACAGTGCCAGGCCGCCAAACAGCCCAATAAATCAGGTCAAAAGAGAATTCCCAGGAGTGCTTTGACAGGCTGTGAACCTGCCACAGCTCAGGGATACGAGCCCTGGCGGGAAAAAGAATGCTTCTTTTTAAAGAACTGCATCTGTCACAGTCAGGGGTGGGGAGGGAGGTGGCTGGGGTGGGGGAGGCTTGGCTTTTCTGGAGGGGATCTGTGGCTAGCTCCACGCCTGAGCTCACCCACAGTTTTGGGTTAAAATCACTTAATAATAATAAAAAAAATATCTTGATAGTTCATGACTTGGAGAAATGGGTATGGCATGGGCTCAAGTTTAAATGAATAAAAAACAGAACTGGTTACAAAACGGTATGTGTGGCACAGCCCTATTTCAGTCAGGATAACATATCCTGTGCCTTAAAAAAAGACTGGGGAGAAACACACTGAAGATGCCGCCACAGCCTTGTGGGCGATTTCAGTTCTCTTGGTCTTCCATGGTTTTTATCATAATCAGTACAAATTATCATCATGAACACACTGGATAGCTACTCTGGCACGGTTAGTTTTATCTCTGGATTCTTAGCCTCGAGTCTCCCAGGCTGGATGCCGAGGCCTCTGTGTGTCCAGGGGAAGGGAGGGACTTTGCTGTTTTCTCCCTGTTTCAGTCCTGCTGTTTGGCCTGCCTCCCGAAGCAGAGGAGGTGATCTGGGCAGCCTCTCCTGACATCCTCCTGCCCAACCTGTTTAAGCCTCCCCCTCCACCTCCCGCCCGTCATCGCTGGGAGAGGTGGGCATGCGTGTACTCACAATGAGGACAGCTGCGATGGGGATAGCCGTGTTCATGAAAACTGTGGAGGAAGCACACGGGCCTGTTCAGTGGGAGGCAGGAGGCAGATGCCCAGGATGGGCCCAGGAGCAGCAGCCCCGAGGTGCAGGGTGGGCTCCTTCCCCTGTTCTTCAGGGACTCCTATCGCACATGCCATGCCCCAATCCCCAATTCCCCCCAACAGTAAAGGAGAAAATACTGGAACTCAGCTCTGTAGGGATGGGGGTGAAAGTGCCTGGGGAACCTGGTAAAGGGTAGGGCTGGAGAACTGCAGGTGTTCCGGAGGGCACCAGCGTGCTACTCCTTTCTCCTCCCTTTGCCCTCCCCACCAGTCCCTGCAAAGCCAGGCTTTCTATGAGGCTTAGGGACCTGCTGATGTCCCCCTGGTCTGGGGACAGTTTGTGCTGCTTCACACTGCACAGGTACACAAGGACCTCAGCTGGTGAGAACATGCCTTCCTGAGAGCTAAGGCTACACGTTCATGTTCAGGAGGCGTTGAGGTCCTTTATGGAATGCAGAGTGAAGAGAGCTGGCAGCAGTGGGTGCAGTCCCTGTTGTCACAAGCTATGTAACCCTGGGCTTGCCATTTACCCTCCTTGTACCTCAGTTTCCCCACTTACTATTTATAACCTTACACCTGATTACATATGCCCCCATTGTTTCCGAGGCCCAAGGACATCACGTAGGTAATGGGCTCTGTAAACCTTAAGTGCTGCCTATCACACAGCAGGGACTCCTAGCTTAGCCCTGCTCCTAGATCCCTTTGCTCTGATTTAAGGAGAGGTACCCAAGGCAGCCCTAAGCCCAGGCTTTAGTTTTCAGAGGGAGAGAGAAGAGACAGAAGCTGCCTGGAGTGAGGGCCGACCATCCAAGCTGCTGCCTGCCTATCTCATCTCCCTGCTCCCAGTATCTTCCAGGTCAGCCCACATAGAAGTGTGGTGCTGTTATGAGCCAAATTAAAGCAGCAGGAGTGAGGAGCCCAACGACCAAGGTCAAGGACAGCCTGCCCAGATGGCTGCTGTCAAATGGGTGAAGTCCAGCCAGCCCAGTTCTGAGAGGCTGATTGTCCACTTACCCCAAGAATCCTGCATTGTGCAAAGTACGCATCGGGAATGTGGCCCCCAACTTCCAAGGCACCCCAAGTGGACAGACCATGGCCCTACCTCAGGGGATTTCCCACGCTGAGGAAAGTGACAAGAGCTGTGCTCCCAGAAGATCCTGATAGGACGGGGGAGACACAATACGTGGCGTTCCCAAGCAGACAGGAAAGACATGAATATTACCTTTGGAGAAGCCCTAATCTGAAAGCAGAGGTGAGGCCCCTGTCACTGGAGAGTTCCTACTGTGGTAGAGGGATGAAGGTTGGAGCCCTGGAGGTGTAGCTAATCTCTCAGACCACAAAGCTTCTTAATATGAGCATAGGTCATTCATCTCTGTGTTCATACTGCCCTGTCCCATGAGGTGCCCGCCTGCAGTGCCACAGCCCCAGTTCCAGTCCCCAGCTGTGGGCTCTGCCCACAGTTCAGGAACCCAGTCTGGGACACAAGACATGGCGTGGCCATCACTGCAAGGGGAGAATGGGGAGGATCATGGCCATCAGGCTTGGGCCCTTGCTCGTAAGCAGTACGGAAATCTCGGCACAAGCAGCCCTGTCCATGCCCATATCTGACCACCACCACCAGGAGCAACTGTCCCAAAGGTGTCCATGGGGGCAGGAGCCTCTCTTCCACTCCTTCCCTTCCCAACACCACAGATCCCAACTGAGGAGACAGCTCGTGCACCATCCTTGGCCCTCTGCCCCACCCTCGGGCCCGTCTTCCAGCTGAAGAGTGGGCTGGAAGTTGGCTTGTCCCATAGCACAACCCGCATGGAAAGCAATCTGGTGCCTGGTAGCTAGAATGCCACAGAAGTTCAAACCTTCTGATCCTGCACTCCATCTCCTGGGAACTTCTCATAAATAATCATTCCAGGGGAGCACAAAGCGAGCAGCAAGATGGTGTTTGTTCCACGCAGTCTGTTACAGCCACACAAAGCCGCAACCACAGCAACAAATCAGCCCCGAATGAAATAAATCGAGAGAGTCCAACGGGAGTGGGAAGGAGAGGGCGTTCTCGCAAATGACCGCACCTCCTTGCTCTGGGAGGCCTGGAAAATGTGCAATAATTGACATCCCACGGCACCTTCTCCTTCATCATGGCTTTCTTTATGTTTTTTAATTTTATTGTCTTGTTTCTTGGAGCTGCCTGGATTCCTTTGAGGGATGAGTCAAGCCATAAACACATTTAAAAATGAACATTTCAAAGCGGAGGCAGCAACACGGAGCAGGCTTATGAGATAATTGCTTTCTACCCTATTCTGGTGGCTCTATGACGATGAATGGGGGTTCCCTGCAGGTGGGCAAGGGAGGAGTGAGATCCCAGTTGCCTGTTAGGGTGGGTGTAGCTAGGGATGGGGGTATTGGGGGCTTGGGACCAAGGGGGGCTCTGCTTCCTCTCTGGGACAGCAGCCAGCCCTACAGGAGCCCTACATCACCCACATGGAGGGTGATGGAGCCAGGGAGCTGGCCTCTAGTTGTGGTTGTTTGCAGATCTGAGGCCTTGCCCCCATTTTCCTGATCCCCTCCCCCTACAAAACTCTCTAAGATTTGCAGGTGGTAGCAGGAGTTGGAAACCTGACTAGGAGCCTAGCCACAGGGCAGGTGACACATCTTGATCTGATTTAGAAAAACAAAAACAGAACGCACAAAATGGCAGGCATGTTAGCACTCAAATTATGAATGCGAGGGAGCAAGAATCACAGGTTAAGCTGTGTGAAGTTAAACAGAGGTTACAGAAATGGCGTGTGGGGGCGGTAGTGATATGGAGAGGTTTGATGGCAGGTAGGCGGGCCCAGAGGCCACCAGCCACAAAGTGCTTCTGCCACTATGCAGAGAAGCAGGCCCTTGTGTGTCATCTCCTCCAGTAACGTTCTTTCAGAGCTATTCATTCATAGGTTATTTCCCAAATGTCTCCTCTTCCCGGTCTCAGGGCACAGGAGTAAGCCTGTATATCTGTTTTCCTTGTCTCTCGTCTACCAATTAAGCAGAATTGCAACCCCAACTCAAGCAGGTCTCAGACCACCCACTCTCCTGCCTGTGTCCAGGGAATACTGTCCGACTTGGCACCAGCAGCTTCTGGTGCTTCTCCTCGACAAAGTACAGATAAATATTTCAGAAGTTGTGTGTCCAGGAGGCCCTGCCAGTTTTGTCCCCAAGGAGGGACCAGAGAGGGGCTGTGGGCTCCCAACTTGGCCCTGACGGTAACTTGCCTCTACAAGGAATGAGGGGGAATGGATTTTGAGGGGCACACCATCTTTTCCCATTCAGTCTGACAACCAGGGACATCAGCAAGGGGGAGGAAGGGAGGCAGGTTCCCAGTGTGTGTCAGTGTGTTGGCTGCCAGCAAATAGAGGCCGTGCAGCCAGCGGCCCTGCAGTCACATTAATTTCTACCTTCTTCTCTGACTGACTGAAGAGTCCCCTGGCTCCAACCAGGCCAGGAGATGCATCAGCAACCCACAGCAGCCGCATTAGCAGGCAGAAGGAAGAACAAGTGTTGAAGGAGCTGTACTCTTCAGTGTCAGGGCCCCTAGTGAGCAGGACAGAGGAGAGCAAGGGTTTGCAGACAGGTAAGGTCCCTGGTGTTTGTGGACAGGGACCATGTTGGCTGTCTCGGGTATGGGTTCGCTAGCACCATCCTGCCCACTTCCTACCACCACTCCCTGCCCCCGCCTCACCACCCTGAAGGGTGGTTGAGCTGGGGAGCTTGGTTTGGTTCTGGATTATTTGCTTGTGTTTTAGGACACTCAATGAGGCCAGTTACAATCATCCTTGGAGGTCCTGCTGAGCAGTACAGACCCCTGAGCCCAGAGCACTGAAGACTGTAGCCAGCAAACGTTTCTCTGGCTTCTCCTCTCCTCCTCACATGACTTCCGCCACAACAGAAAACCTGAGAGCTGAGCCCAGCACACAAGGTGCTGCCTGAGGTGGTCTGGGTCTCCACTCCTCCCTGGATTGTGCTGGAGTCTTGACTATGCTGGGCTTATCCATACCTGCAGCCTTTGCGGCTGGGACACTCCTCTCTCGCCTGGCTGGGTTCACCTGGTCATCCTTTGGCACCCTGTCATGGGTGAGCCTTCCTGAGACTCCTGTCCCTAACAGCTCATAACCCTATGGCTACCCAGGGAACCCCTTTTGGCTTGTGTCTTTACAACACTGCTGTATGTCTGTTCCAACCTCCCCATGTAAAGTAGACTAAGCAACCTGCAGACTGGGACCACTATGCCTTCTCATTACCACATCCCCAAGGGCCGGCACACAGTAGTGCTCAGTTAAGTAAGTGGCAGATGGGAAGAAGCAAGAGGCTCAGGGCCTGGCAAGTAATGCACAAGACAGAGGTATTTACAACAGACCCCATGGCTCTGACCACATGCACAGCCACTGTTCCCATGGTTGGTCATGGTTGGTCACCTGTAAGACCATGAGCTCTGGGACCATGGCCGTGCTCACTTGCTCTTTAGTGGCCCCACCTTCTGCAAAGCCTGGCTCTGGGGCATGAGCTGCACACAGAACAAACCGACAGCATCTCAGCTGGTTGACTGGAAGATCTAGGAACTTTTTGTCCTCACAGAGGAAGCACTTAGAGTCACTGCTTCTGCAGGATTCAGGGTTAAACTGACTCCTAGAGCAAGAGGCCACAGCTCTTACCTCCAGCTTGTTCCCCCACTTTACCTTGCACTCACCAACCTCCTTTGTGCTAGGTGCAGTCTGATGGTCAACTATGGAGTCTGTGTGAACTCCCAGCCCACGTGGGCTTCTCTCTCAGTGCTCTGCCATTTATTCACTGAGACCTTGGCGAGGCATTTCAACTGACTGAGCCTCACTCCTGTCTGCTGCAAAATGGGACAACCGAGGAGCACATCTCACGACATTGCGATGAGGGAGCATCACATGCTATCAAACTTGTTGGGCAACTGGCTGTAAGGTTTAGTGCTCACTGCATGGTAGTTCCTGAGGGTGGTGAGGCATGCCTTATTATCCTCTGCATTCTTCCTGGAGCTTGGAATAGAGCAGGGCATCCTGATGGGCTCATTCTGGGAGACACTCTGCCCTCCTTGTCCTGTCCAATGAGGCTCAGAGCTCCATACCCAGGAGCTCTTGGGCCTACTGAGGGCAGGAGAGGGCCAGAGGCAAGCTGGCCTGCCAGTCCGCCTGCAAGGTGCACAGACAAGCAGATGGAGAGCCCCATATACTCCCTTGCAATGAGCCTATCAGGAAATGTAACCCTGCAGCTCTTCTTCAGTCTACATCCTGAACCTGGCGCCAGTGGGAGACAAGAGATAATCATTACTTTAGTCTAACTGCCTGGGTCCTGAGCCCTGGTAACACAAGAATGGAAGTCCCGGAGGAGGGGAAAGAAAACACATTTAGAGCAGGCATAGCTGGGAGGTGTCCCAGAGCCCAACCCTCTAACTATCCCCCACTGCCAGCTAGCGGAAAGGAGCACATCCCAGAATGAGCAAACACACTGAGCAAATAGCACTGGGCTGCACAGATCCCCCGGACAGCCTTCCCCCACCCCTTGCCTTTCATCTCCCCTCTTCCAGGGGCCACGCTGGAACCACCAGAACTCCTGCATAGGTGACAGGCACTGGGTGTTGCCTGCTTGCTTTCAGCAACCCCCTGCCTCTTCAGAATCACCCAGCTCTGGATAACATGAAGCTTCCTGTCCCCAAGTCCTGCTGGTCCCAGGCCAGTCACAGAGCCAAGGCCTGAGTGCTAAGTGTCCTGTGGGACAAGCAACACCTAGGACATAGACTCCAGGGGGTCAGCCTGGGCACCAAGGCATACTAAGTTCCTGTTTATGTGGGAAAGCCTGCCCCAGTTTGCTGGTGGGAAGGCAAGAAGTGAGTCCTGAACTCCACCTGTCCCCAGGAATCTTGGGGAGCTAGAGCTCCTCTCATTTTTTTTGCTGCGTCCCTTCCCTCTACAGCTCAACAGCAGTGAGCCTGCCATTCTCAGCCTGTTATGCTGGCGTCTAGACAGGAAGTGCCTTGACTACCTGGAGAAGCCTTCCCTCACTTCCACAGCTATTCTCACTGCTGGGGGGCTGCCCACAAGTCACTTGTCTGAATCTCTGGGGTAGGAGAAGGGGGAAGTGATAAACAATGCAGTGACAGCTAGCAGCACCACACCCTGGTGGGCCTGGGGCTGAGGACACTGGCTTTTATGAGCTCTGCATATGTTCTCAATGCATTTCTCATCTTGGAGAGTACTCAGGCTGATGGTGTTCACTGCAGCACAGCGTCAGAGGAAAGATCCAGAACTCGGAGGCTCTTGGTGGGGAGGAGCCTGGGGAGCCATGGCTGCTGGCCATGCCTGCAGCTCCAGTCTCAGAAAATCAAGTGTGGCAAGACTTTCTGCAGAAAGACTCCATGGCTTGAGCTATGACTGGTAGATGGCCTCACCACTGACAATGGCTGGACAGGGTCCTTGCCTGAGTCATGGCACACTGTGGTCTGGCTGGAATGACTAGGCTATGAAGCCTTATGTTGGAAGGTGGCTCCTGGACCCATCTAGGCAGCACAGACTCCAGGAACACATAGATATCTTGTTCATGAAGTTTCAAGCCATCACTGGCTCAACTGCTGCCCTTCCCCTTGCCACCACACAGGTAAGCCTCTTTCCCAGAACAGCCTTTTTGACCAGCAGTCTTTCTTAATCTTCTACCCTATTTTTCATCTTGCCAGAGCCCAGGCTAAGAGACAGTAGCTTCCCCAATGTGCGACGAGTCTTCTTTACTTCACACGGGTGTCCAGCTTTCTATGGCAACAGTGCACTAAGCTGGGAACCAGCAAGTGTCAGAGGCTCCAGCCTGAGTCAGGCTGCTGACCTCAGGGGCACACTCCCCTATCGCCTTGATTTCCCATGGGGTAAGTGGTCCTCTGCAATGACAGAAAGTCTTTTCCACTTTCCCTTCTCACCACAGTCTGTATAATTTCCACAGACGTCTTCCAAACAAAAAAAAACTCTCTTTAGTGATTTTTTTTTTCACTTCATCTACACACTTTCTTGGTTTAATTTCCTCTCTTTGGGAGCTTCCACTGGGCTTCCTGACCATAAACTGGACAATGAAGGAACAAGCAGGGGCTCTTCCAGCAGCTAAACCTCTGCACCGAAGAGGTAGCCACAGTGGGACGGGCCTCAAGTCCAATTGTGATGACTGCCAATTGCCCGACCTCTGTAAGCGCTCCCTCTGGCCAGGGGGGCATTATTTCCTTAATGGATTTCAATCACTGAGGTTTTAACTTATGGAAGCTCTTTTGGTTCTTTAACCCCCATACTTTCCTCTGTGACCTTAAGTATTTTTTGCTTTATTTTCACTATTTTTTTTCAAGATTTATTTATTTTTATTACGAAGTGGGATATATAGAGAGGAAGAGAGACAGAGAGGAAGATCTTCCGTTTGATGATTCACTCCCCAAGTGACCGCAACGGCCGGTGCTGTGCCAATCTGAAGCCGGGAGCCAGGAACTTCCTCCAGGTCTCCCACATGGGTGCAGGGTTGCAAGGCTTTGTAGTGTCCTCGACTGCTTTCCCAGGCCACAGGCAGGGAGCTGGATGGGAAGTGGTACCGCTGGGACTAGAACCAGCACCCATATGGGATCCCAGCGCATTCAAGACAAAGACTTTAGCTGCTAGGCCACCGCATTGGGCCCTGTTTTCACTCTTTAAATACACTATTTCAGATCTGTTTTAGACGATGCTGTCGTCTGCAGGTACTCAGGGACTACTTCTCTGGGGAGCACTTTTTTTTTCTCTTATGGCTTTTGACTTTATTATTAGTTTAATACTCAACAGGAGACATTGTTAGGGGAGTCTCACTGTGTCTGTCACATGGTTTTAATGTGTCTGCTGGGACCTTAGGAATTTTCCCAGTGTTTCTCTTGTCTTTAGAGCTTCCAAACCACCGGGCTAATACAAATTCAAAGCCTACACTAATGAGACACCAAGCTTGGCTTCTGATCTTCCAGGATAATGAATTTTTTTTTCACAGGGTCCATGGAAATGAAAGCTTCCTTGTAGCTACTTAGGACAGGGGAAGCTCTATCTGACTTATTGAGAAGCCTCCCACTCTCAGAATTCAAAAACTGCTTATTTGGTTGCTGGCTGCTGCCTGGTCAGAGCATAAAAACCCCTGGAGAAATGGGATCTTGTGTGCTCCCCTCATCATTGTATCCTGATGGCCAGCACAGTGCACAGTACCCAGTTCATTACAGTACCTGTTTGCTGGATAAATGAGTGAGGGGTTTCAGCTACCTCCTAGGGTTGGGTCTCGAAAACCATCCTAATGCCGTTCCCCCAAACCCCGACTCTCCCTCCAGCATATGGGCAGTAGCAGCAGCCGCCAGTGCTGTTGGATTGTGACTCACTGGAGATGGAAGTGTAGACAGCAAAGGCCTTGAGGCTGGTCATCTCCTTCCTACGGGTCATCTCCACGCGTGCGCAGAAGATGTTCTCCCAAGCATACAGCTTGAGCAGCTTGATGCCACGAAGCATCTCGTTGGTCTGCTTCAGCCTCTCATTGGAATACTCCTGTGGGCATTGTTGCGTCTGAGGGGAGCATCCTCTGCTCCCACCCCACCTGAGACCAAGGCCCCCTGTCAGCGCCCTCACCACCCTGTCCCGCTCACAGCCCTGCAGGGATGCACCCTGCCCTCTCCAAGAGCCCCATTTCCCAGATGAAACAGCTGAGGCCTCTTCTTCAGAAAGTGACTTACTAGAGATCCAATGGCATGAGTGTCTGAGTAGACCTGCTGTTGTGAGTGGCAGGGGGACAGGCAGACATGGGGGGTGGTTGGGACAAAAGGACCCATGCACCCCCTTGCACACTCACCAGGGTGCTCCGCTGGGCTTGGGAGAGCTTGGTGGCCACGAAGTACTGCACAGGGGCCAACAGAATGATGACTGCTGCTCCAATCAGGGCACTGACTCCGAGGATGTAGTAGAGCAGGATCACACCCACAATGATCTACAGAAGGGGCCAGGGGGAGTGTCTCCTTCAGCAGAGGGTGGGTATTGGCTAGCACCATCCCCCACATCCCCAGCTCCCTAGAATGGGATGTGCATGGGAGCCCAGGTTTTCCCAGCTGTCTCTGGGAGGAGGGAGAAATGCGATTTCAGAAGGCGGGATTGTCGTGATGGGCACTGGCTGCAGCCACGTTTCTGGGCTGGCACCACATTGCATCTCATGCAAGCCTGGTGACCTCCTCTTTCTGTGAGGCTGGCTCAGCGCTCACCCTCTCCTAGTTTAAACCAAAGTCAGAAGTCTACATGATGAATGTGACAGCTGGCAAAGCTGACACGTCAACTCTCCCTGAGACAAACATGACACACAAAGGGACGAAATCTCAGCATCCAGGCCAGACCACAGAAGCCCAGGGTTGGAGAGACTGCTCTTCCTTGTCATGGTACTGGTGTCTCTCATTTTTTGGTGCATCTAGCCAGGATTCTCTGAAAAGCAAACTCTTTCTGCTTCCAGCTCTATGTAAATGACTGCCTACTTTGGAATATTTATGGGAAGTGCAAGTGACTCGCACGAGTGCCCACGGCACTATGATGGTGTCTCATGTTCCCTTCAAAGACACATGCCTCTAAAGATGGGGCTTCTCCTAGAATACATAAGCTGAGCTGAGCTTCTAGGGTAGAAAATGAAGGGGGAAATGCCACCTGGCTTGGCCCTGCTGCTCTAGAACCCACACCAGCTGCACACTGCTCTCCCTGCACTGCCTCAAGTGGTGGTGGTGTGGGTATGAGGCTCTGGACTTGCCATTCATGACTGAATCCTGCCTGGCAGGTAGCTGAGAGGCTGGGAAGAGAGACTCCTTCACCACATGCCTCCAACAGTAAATACCAGCTTGGACAGGCAAAGCATGCTAGGAGACAAAGGAATCTCCTACCTCTGCTGGTCAGCCCCACCTTCCTTCTGGAAAGTTCTCCCTGGCATGCAATCCTGTCACTAGCTTTGTTCATGTGGGAGCAACAACGGGGTGCTTCAGCCAGCTGGGCTGTGCCAGACAAAGAGGAGGCTCCCAGAGCATCACAGGGCTGCTAACAGGGCACCTGCAGGAAGGGGTCAGTGCTCGTGCCCATTCACCTCCAAGGGGCTGGCACAGCTGGGACAGGAGATCGCCTTCCTGCTCCCTAGACTCTTGGGTCCCTTTGTCCCTTCTGCAGGGGTCTGAACACCTCTCACAGGGCGAATGCCAGAAATCAAAGGTTCTTATGTGCAAAGCAGGGATGAAAGCTAGGGAGCCGTTCTGTTGCCTAGTCATAGGTCAGGAGGAGCTTGGTGTTCCTGAAGTCTGCAGCCTGTGACTGTGGCCTCAGTACTTAGCAGCACCATCTTGGGCAAGCTGTACTATCTCATAGGAATCTCAGCTTCTTCATCTTTAAAGCAATGATAATAAGGCCCACTTACAGTGAAGGTTAAATAAAGGTCTGTGCTGAGTGCCCAGAGCAGTGCCTGCCAAATAGCTGGAGAAACACAAGGCAGCTGACCCCAGTTGAAAGGAAAAAACAATCTTTCTCGGAGGTCATCCACAGACTGGAGCCACCTGGGTGTGGTGCTGCTGTTGGCTCACTGTGTGGCCCAGGTAAGATTCCTGCCCTCCCTGGGCCCCAGATACCTCTGGAATAAGGAAACACAGAGATGTCTACCATGGCCAAGTGCCTTAACCTGGTGTCCTTGATCAATTTCAGAAGGGCCCATGAAGCCCCTGAAATTGTAGGCTAGTGTGTGAACTTTCTTTTTTGAGAAAGTGGCATAAGATCTTCAAAAGTGTCTGTAGATAAGTGGTTGCTAGGAGCTGGGGGTAAGGAGGAGGCTTACTGAAAGTGTGGGGAATTAAAATGTTCTAGAAGTGTGGTGATGGCAGCAAAACTCTGTGAATATTGTGAAACCACTGAATTGTCCAAATGAATGCATTCTATCTCAGTATGGCTGTTGTTGTTTTAAGTGTATGTGACAAGAGGAAAAAAAGACAAGGCCTCAGGTAGAGCGCTTGGGATTTGCCTTGGACCAGGGCTCTGGAGCTAACTGCAGTGAGGAGCTGTGTGTGTCTGTGGCCGGCCAGCCTGCGGACAGAATTCTGGGCAGATGCAGTCTCTGCATTTGGACTGAGATGTGTCAGTTCACAGTAGCAACTAGCTCTTCCATTCTGGTTTAATTTCTAAGTCCCAAAGGTATAGTCGTTGATGAAGCAACTGATACTTCATGATGAATAAGCAAGGTCAAAACCTCCCCTCATACCCCAGTGCCTGGTTGGGAGGTCAAGTGACACAGGTGAAAGGGGCTGGGCCAGGGCCAGCACAGGGCAGGGGCCATGCGTTAGTCCTACCAGCAGTAATGCACGCACAACAAACAATGGCTGTGATTACAGAGCTGCAGGCTTAGTGGATGAGATTAGATGAGACAGTTTGTTCAGAGGCATACTCGAGAGTCTTGGGGATAAAAGGCTGTGACTATCACATGAGCCTTCAGCCTTCGGACAGCTTTGGGCATCTCTGATCTATACGGCAGCATGGGAAGGGTCAGATTGGGCATGGGTAAGTGCTAACATGGATGTCCGATATGACTCTGTTCTTGTGGGAAAAAAAAAAGACATCAGCTTTCCTCCCAATCTTGCCTAGTTTTCTGCCTGTACAAGCCTCTCCTACTTTGATCTAATATCTTCTACTTGCAAGCTTTACAAGTAAAGAGGACTAATACAAGCCACAAGAACCAAGAAGCAATGGGTTAGCATAGCCTCACTCAGATCAGACACGTGCAAGTGAGAGGCAAGTGGGTTTCCTAGGGGCCACTCTGCTAGGCACGCCACCTGATGCTTTACTAACACTGTCTAACTGAGTCAGCACAACAAAGGCTAGGATGCAGGAACCAGCCCCATTTCATAGGTGAGAAAACTGAGGCTCAGGGAGGTGACATATGGGAAGCTGCCTGTCCCATCCAGGTCCTGCCACTCTCTATTACACCTGCATGCTGCCACGCAAGCACCAAAGGGAAGACTCATCCTCAGGCCTGGTACATCATCCAACTCCACTGTGGAAGAACTAAGGATGGCAAGGGGATAGCAGGTGAGGCTAGGGCAAGTCCAGAGGATTCCCCTGCAGCAGGGAATGCGCCTCCCAAAGCTTGTCATGTCTGCATCCCACCACCCCCCCTCCAGGTACTCCACGTTTGCTGAAGACTTTGGAAACACACAGAGAACAAAAAAATTATCTGTACCTCCACCAGACAGCTTTCTAGCTCTTTTTGTTGCAGGAAGCTGTGCAAAGTATGCAAATGGGAACTCCAGTTCAGAAGGATGCACATTGTACAAGCTCTCTTGTGCTTTAATCTTACTTTTAATGTCTGAGGAAGCATTCTGTGTGTGGTTACTTTATGATTCAGTTAAGACTGGTTGCCTTTTACAAGTCTTAATAAAATGGCCTTCTCTGACCACCAAGAAAGACAACATACTCTGCCTGCAGAGCAAGGCATCCTATAAGGGCCCCCCCCCCCCAGAGTGCACCCCACAGAGACTCCCGGGGGGGATGGAAGTCATAGGCAAAGAAGGAATAGAGGAGGGATAGTTGCACTGGCTGCCCACCTGTCCCCTCACTCCCCTCCCTCCCCCAGCCACAATCCCACATCTGGTACCTGTACTGGCATGGCCCAGAGGTTTGGGCACAAGAAGAAAAACCACATGAGTTGGTTGGTGTCGATGGCAACCAGGTTACAGATCTGGCTGGCGGTCATCTCCCCCATGGACAGGTTGGAGGTAGACAGGTGCATAATTTTATTGTAAATCTTGGTCTAGAAATGACAGCAGAGAATTTCTCAGTGGTCAGCATCACCACCCTCCTGGGTGCCCCCAAGACTACCTGTTGGTGCTTCTCAGATGCTCTAGGGGCGAAGGGAGGATGGGCACTGCATTGCTATGCTACAGAAGGAAGAAAGGCAGACAGGCTCAGGGAGGCTTTGGTAAAGACCCAGGAGGCAGCATCTGGGTGAAGATCCATGCTGGCAGGGCGAGCTACTTCCTCAGCCAGTGAGGGCTCTCCTCACGGGGAGAAGATTTAATTTGCCCTTAAATATTCATAACAGATCTTCACATCTAGTTGCTATCTTGATTTACGAGGGGCCATAGAGCACACATTTCAAAGCCATAAACATGATGAAGTGGTTCGGCTGTTTGACTTACTATGTCCACCACCTCCCCGCTGGGGAAGGGGTCCATGTCTGGGCCAAGCTCCTGTCACAGTCAGACCTCGCAGCAAAGCAAGGCCTATGTCTGGCTGATGTGAGAAACGACCATGAGTGTGGATCAGCCTCAGTGCCATCTCAGTGCCCCAGCATGCCCAAGGCCACTATAGGGGCAGACTGGGAAGCAACCACAATAGTGGCTTGGCCTAAGTGTGGAACCTCAAAGCTTGGTACACAGACTGACTGTCCCTCCCAGAGAGATTGCCAGGCTGCATGCACAGGAACAAGGGCAAATACATTCCTGTCTTCGGTGTCTGAGCAGTGCCTGCTTTGGAGAGAAATTCTCCTGCGCATTCTGTTGTAAAATGGATTGCGCTGGATTCATCTTTTGTGTGAGCCTGGGCCATTGTGTGCAGCAGATCTCCCTAAGGCATTAAGCTAGTCTACATTTTTATGAGCTGAGACGCATCAGGGGCAAGTTTTCAGATAACGGCAATAATTTTTTTTTTTTTGACAAATCTATGTTCTTCCTAGGTCATGTGAGATCAGGCTTCCAAAGTCTGTCACCTTATTCAGCAAAGTAGACATAGAGACATGCATCCAGTGGAACCCTACGAAGTCCAGAAAAGGCTACACAAATAGGCACACCCAAATGGTAGAGGGTATGTTTTTCAAAAACTATTATCTATAATTCAGTAATTTTGCTTAATCGCTTTAAATGCAAAAACCATGATGATTCTCAAACTCATGAAGAAGCAAACTCTCCTTGATTGGGGTAAGTTTTCTATAAATAATTTTCTGTAAATCTCTGAAATCAGGAAGAAGGTTGTTTTCTCATCTGATTTGCTTTTGTAATTAATGCTGGTATTTCCTTTTTGTAGCATATGAATTAGTCTCTCTTATTAATGCAAAAGATTTAAACAGTTTGATAAAAGCAATTATACGCTAAAGCATTAAAAAGCCATTTTTGGCTCTCTCAATGTAATTGGAAAATACTTGGGTTGGTGAGTGATTGATGATCTACAAGTAGGAAGTAGGCTTAATCATAAAACTGCCCAACTTCCAACTTGGCTGATGCTTGTGCTGTGTGAGTCAGCCCTTGCTGGAGAGGTCTGAGTAGAGGCTAGAATTTTTAGGTAGTATTTCTGAATTGAAAAACAGTTGTGTTCCTCCTGCCAACGAGCACCCATGGGTCTTACAATGTCACAGATTTTGCTGGGTTCTTTCTACCTTCACAGGATAACATTCCCCATGGAAATGCTCTGCTTTTCCAGTGAAAAGTCACTGGTGGCAGGCAGTATGGTCAAGTAGCGCATAACAGGTTGCACACTGAACAATCACAGGGAGCACCATTTATGTGGACTACATACCAAGATGGCCCGAGTTGGGTTCCTGGCACTGTCTCTATGCCAGCTATCTCCTCCTGCAAGTCCCCTTTCTGTGAAGCTTCTGATCTTGGCTCCCACAGGACCAGTGTTAATAGTTGGGAGGATACATGAAGGTAACAATATGGAAAACATACTAGTCTTATCCACTTTCCTGTAGCCCTTGAACCTTCTTACCCTAATTAACTATGTAAAGAATGTCAAAATAAAATAAAAAAAAATAGTTTGGAGGAATATTTTTAAGAATATTCCTCCCAACTAGTTTGGGGGTAGTTTGGGGCTCTTGCTACAATTTTACGGCAATTTTGGTTATGGTGGCATTCCCTAACTATTCTCCTCAATGTCCATTTTCTCTTTTGTACAAAGATAATTTCTTGTATGATATACATGATTATTGGTGACAGAAATCACACTTCCTAGTCTCTGTGAGGATGGCCATTTGGTCAGTTTCTCACCAATGGGATGAGAGGGGGAATGTATAACTTCTATATTATGATTCTATAAGGGAGAAGCACCAGAGCCTACCGCTGCCCCCAAATGAAGGAGACATCATTTGTTTCTCTTGTCCCTTCTTCCTTCTTGCTGGTTTGCATGATGGCATGATAGTGACAGCTCCACAGCCAACCTAGGCCATGAGACGAAAGTCACATAAGAAGCTTGGCCGAGCAGCAACAGGGAAAGAACCCAGGTCTCCTTAGCTGCCGAGTCAGCCCTGACTTGACATGAAAAATGAGCAAGTTTGTATTGAAAATGCTGACTCCTGGGGCCTTTTTGTTCCCATAGCTGAAGTGAAATTCTGATGAAACACTGGAGTTGGCACAGCTGCCATCACCACTTTCTGCCAAGGAACCTGAATACACTCTGGCTTTGATGATTCCTCTTGCTGATTCTAAGAAGGAAACCACAGATGGCAGCCCTGGGAGTCTGGCCCACCCAGACAGAGTCCTCAGGACCTCAGGTTTAAGTGCTCCAACAGATGCTCAGATTAGGCAGACCTGGGACGTATGCAAATCCCTCTTGCTTCAAAGAAAGACTGGCTGATAGCAGAATTATGGAACAATATCTGCAGAAGGATTCTGAGTTGGCATCTGAATTCACAGAAAGGAGAGCTGTGATGGATTGGTGTTGTCTGCCATGTCCAAGGATGGAGAGACCCAAGGGCTGAGCAGAAGACATCCCTGGTCCACAGCAGAATCAGAACTAGAACTTGTACATGCCCCCCAGTCCAGCCCAAGACTCCTGCCACCATCCACCCTGTTTTGTCTACAGCTATTATGCCAAAACCCCATTAAATGACAACAACAACAGCAGCAAAGCTTGAAGCAGAATTATTCTTGAGTGCCCATGAAGAGGAATAGTGTGAGCCTTCCTGTGAAGTGAACAGCTTGTCCGAGTACCTGTATGGCACCTCGCAAGTTGATTCCAGTTTCAATGGCGACATAGTAGGAGGCTTGCAGGAAGGTCCTTTGTAGCAGCAGGGCGAGGAATAGGAGCACGGCTAAAACATAGGCATTAGCCAGGAACTCTTGGGAGGAGACAAAGTAAACTCCGAGAAACTGCGTCTGTGGCAAAGAGAAATTCGAGGGCAGCGGTCACCAGTAGCCACTCACCTTTCCTAAGTAAGCCTCCCTGGGCCCTGGAGCCATGACAAACACAGCCTGCGCAACAGTTCACATGTGAACAATGGGACTGACAGTGCCAACACAGCACTCCTCTAACTACAAGGGGATGCCTGTATTCCCTTCCTTTTTCCACCTGGGGGCTCTCAGCACTGTGGTCCCCAAGTCCCAGGGAGTAGTTTTTGAATGGCATAAGAATCAACAGAGCAAACCAAAGAGCAGGCCCATGCACAACTGTTGGAGTCACACGTCTGCTGTGTGTTTTTGTCATGCAAGCAAAGGCAGCTGAGACCTCAGATTGTACTCATGGGCAGCCTGCACCAATGGCAACCACGGCCCTGCAGTGCTCCCCAGGGAGCGGTGGGTACTGTGCAGATTTCCGGCTCCCAGCCCCCGTGTCCCCAGTCTCTCCTGTGGGATTCCAGGTCCCCTTGCTGCACTTTCAGCATGATCTCAGGCGATAACTTGTGAAAGAAAACATAAACTTGAACTTTGTTGCTGAAGATGCCCCAGGGGAATGGCAGTGCCCCTGTTTCCAAATTCGGCCTCCGTGATACAGCCAAACCTGTGGAGCTGCTGCTTCTGGGAACGCGGAGTGTTACCCTGTCTCTGCCCTGAATGCTTCTGTGCCACTGGCAAGAGAGTTGCTGTGGGGCAGATTGCAATGGGAACCGAGTGCCAAGAAGGAGCCCGAGGGCATGTCCTTCACCTGCACCAGGCATAAGAGCAAGGGGGTCTTTGCTTTGGTTAGAAATTCCTGCATCTTGGCTGCAGGGATTCCTGGTAGGAGAAAAGTCTTCACTTCCTGTTTTAGTAGAGGTCCTCCAAGCCAGTCCTCACGTCCCCTGCTCCTGGGTACAATAATCTTTCCCTGTTAGGGACAACATAGAGAGATAACAAAGGGATACAGGAAAGAAGGGCCCTCTGAGCCCTGGAGCCCCTGGTGCTCTGTGCCAAGGGAGGCAGAAAGAGGAGGAACAAGGTAGAGGTGGGAGTGGGTGGGCGGCAAGGAGGCTGCAAGGCCACATTATTTCTGGGGTGGAGCAGAAGAGACTACAAAACCCATAGAAGTGTTCTGCTGAAGGGAAAGGCCAGGTTGGTTACAGTGCATGTGAGAACACTGTGTACCCAAGAACACTGAAGAACACACTATGTCTCCAACAGTATGGAGCACTGCACATGTACTGCATCGCAGTGACACCAAACACGAAGCTAGGCATTAAGGGCTGCAGAGTCAGCTGATTACATATGCTCATAGACAGACCACAGGGAGTATTTGCTAACTATTTGTACATTTTAGACAAAGCAGTACAGTCTCTTTTTGCAGTTCCAAAGGCAGCAACTTGACCCCTGCACTCCCCACCCGCTTCCACAACTCTTATTTACCCTGGGTCATAAAGTCACATCCCTGTGGCTCAAGAATTCTGTGCTCCTGTCAAAATGAAAATCTTCTAGCAAGTAAAATCATGAAGTCATCACCAGATCTCTCTTCAAACATAAATTTATAGCTGGCTTTTGATGGAGAAGTAAGTACCAGGGAACCAGTGCTACGGCACAGCTTCCATATGGAAGCTGGCTCAACTCTTTGAGATTTATTAATTTATTTATTTTAATTTAGAAGGCCGATTTATAGAGGAAGGAGAGACTTTCCATCCACTGGTTCACTCCCCAAATGGCCACAATGGCCAGAGCTGAGCTGATCTGAAGCTGGGAGCTGTCCTTCCATGTGGATGCAGGATACCAAGACTTTGGGCCATTCTCTGCTGCTTTCCCAGGCCATAAGCAAGAAGTTGGATCAGAAGTGGAGCAGTTGGAACACAAACGGGCACCCACATGGGATGCTGGCACTGGTAGAGGATTAACCTGTGGAGTCATTGAGCTGACTTTAGCCCTAGGTGGCAACATTTGAGCAGAGTCTTGGTGGCTAAGAATGGGTGGGTGAAGTATAACAAGCATGCCAGGGCAGTTTGTCATAAGTATCATAAAGAGGCCAATCCACAAAGTCACAGAAACACAAATGCATGTAACTTCATTAAGCCACCAAACATGGCCAGCCAAGTGGGGTACACATACACACAGAGGAAGGGAGGTAGAGAGGGATAGAACTGTCTGTAGTCCATAGCAGAAGCCATTCAAAAACAAGTGCTCACACATCCATGCATGTGCGCACACACACACAACCACACACACACACACGCTTTCCCATTGAGCATCAGAGGCCTGAGATCCAAATCAGTTCTTCCTTTCTTTGGCCTGGCCAATGGCCTGGAGCAGTACTGGCAGGCCTCTGAGGAGGAATCCAATTCCCTCACCCTGCACCCAGATCAGTGGCTTCCATGGCAGGAAGGCAGGCGACAGATTGGGATGGGGGTTGGGCGGGAGAGGGGGCTGCAAAGAGCCTGCTGGCGAATGGAGCCAAGCCTGGTACCCAGCTTTCCCTGGCGAGTGCTGAGGCAGACAGGGGCAGCACAGGTGGGGCACAGACCCTCTCAGTAACTCAAGATGTCATCAACAGCGGTGACCCTGGAGGATGCCAAAGTGTGATGTGATTGCTGCTAGCCCTGAGGGGTGTGCAGCAGACTCAGAGACAGTGAAAAAGTGCCAGATGCCCAGCTGTCAGGCTGCAGCTGGACGAATCCAGGACAGCAGAAGGAAGGGCTCTGTCGTCCTGTTGGGGTTAACCTCCGTGACTTGTAATGGCGATTAGCGTATCACCCCACTCTCAAGGTTAGAACTGCTGGGAGGCAGGAGAATGTACGAAATGACCCCCATCAGTGAACCCCTCTTTCTCCACATTTTCTGGGTTCAGAAGTCCAAGTGAGGATGGGGCCCCATCCCAGGCAACCGCTCTCTGGGGCTTTGCTATGGAAGCTGGAGGCTCTATTTACTTTCACCTCTTGTTTCTATGTTGGAAATTTGCTGATTGTATCTGGGAGGCAGGGAACAAATATTAAATCTGATAAGGGCCATTGCCACTGAGGCAGGACCATCTGTCTCTGGGATTTGTGTGCTGATAAGTAAATGGGACAAGAACATTCCAATGAGACAGCAATAAACCTCAGGGTCTGTGTATAAGGAAAGAGGAACAGCATGGCCAGGCGATGAGGCGACGGGCAGGCAACTGAAGTTCTAAAGGGAGGCTTGCCCCAAATCCTTGGCACTGATTGCCACAGAGCTCTCTGCACAGCAGAATGGCCCGAGGGATCAGAAAACATGATGAGAAGAGGGTGGCGTGGAGAAGCCATTAAAAGCGCTGGCCTATGTCATTTCCCCCAGTACTGACATCATGTTCCACTATGCTGCGGATTGCCGATGTCTAGCACTTGAGCATCACCTACAGTCCATGACACTCCTGTGGACAACTGAGGCAACCTCCCTCTCTGCTGTGTGGGCCTTGTTCAGAGCTCCAAAAGCCAGAGAACATCTAAAGAAGCAAAAAGCACTTACGCTTGACTGAAAAAGAAATCTGTACATCTCAGCATGGCTAACTCCTACTTATTCATCAAGGCCCCATTCAAATACTCCCTCCTCAGAGACAGGTGGTGCTGTAGTGTGTTAAGCTGCTATTTGCAGTACTGGCATCCCTTACGGGCACCTGTTCACTGCTGCTCCACTTCTGATCCAGCTCCCTGTTAACGCACCTGGGAGAACAATGGAGGATGGCCCAAAAGCTCGAGTACCTGTGCACACGTGGGAGACCAGGATGAAGCTCCGGCTCGTGGCTTTGACCTAGCCCAGTCCTGACTGTTGTGGTCACTTAGGGAATGAACCAGAGGATGGAAGAGCTCTCTCTGTAATTCTGCTTTTCAACTAAATAAAATTAACTTTCAAATATTCCCTCATCTAAGATGTTCATGATCTCTGGTTGATTGGTCACTCTCTCCTAACGGTCACAGGTAACATCTCCCCCATTGGATTTTGTCATTCTTGCAGCTAGAAGCGAGGGCTTGATTGCAACAGTCTATTTAGAATCATGGCTATTATTGCTTAGACCATAGAGTTAAAAAGGTTTGGACTGTGTAATCTGCCTGTGACTAACTGGGAGACCCTGGCGAAAGTGGGTCCATCTCTTTGAGTCTTATGTTTCTCATCTAGCAAATGGGGATAAGCATTTACATCTCATGAACTGTCAAAACAAACAAACAAAAAAACCAAAAAACCAAAAACCAGAAACAAAATCAAAAAAACACTGTCAAGGGTCACCTTTGGGATTCAGTGGCAGGTGGATGACTTATGTACATAGTCACATATGTATCAAGCTGTTGCTAACTGACTGTCACTGTAGCCAGGGCCTACATTTTCCCACAAACTAATACAGGTCTGGCACACAGTAGGTAGGGCTCAATAAACACTGGCTGAACAAAATTACACAGACAGACAGATGTGGGCAATCTTACATGCCTTACATGTCTAGGCCATTCGGCTGGTACATTACATTTCCAGAACTCACGTAAACCTTCTGAAGGTTAGCTAGCTTGCAACTGCAAGATAAGTTCACATTATGCGAGGGGCACTGTAAATTATTAAGAGCCCTGATGATGACTCCTCCACATTGTTTCAGGCTGTCTGTGGTGGAGATGTAACAATGGCATCCTCATCAGGCAAATAAAACTACAAGCCTCATTAGAGATGAAGCGTTTTCCATTGTGTGGCCACATCATCCCAAGAGCCTGCCAGAGGACAGACAAAAGCATAAAAGAACCCCTGGGCCTAGAGTGGCCATGATGGCCATGAGCAAGAACAACTGTGCTGGATGTTCAGTGCAGTTCATACCATCTCTACAGGTGAAAAGACCCCTGGACTACACCTGGCTTAGCAGGTATCCAGTCATTTCCACGGGACCCTATTTTAAAGAAGAAATCTTAATGAGAAAGCTCAACACATTCATTGTCCTGGGATAGCTGTGAAGGAGCGTCAGAGTGGAGGAAAAGCCATCGGTTAAGGGGTCCCTTTCTCCTGTCCAGGCAGCCCCAAGCTAGCCCTTGCAGAATTTTGAGAGCGACAGAGTTGAGGGCAACAGAGCCCTGGAAAGCCTCTCAGAGTCTACGCAGATAACATCAGCTGAAAGCCAACAAAAGCAGCCATCATAGAAACTCCAGACGCTGGGGCAACAAACGGACTTCCTGTCACGTTCCAAATGACTTAGCAACCAGTGGAGGTAGTGCCAGGGGTGGGGGGTGGGGAGGGTGGCATTTCTGCAAGGGTCTGTCCATGCAGGAGGGGCCACCACAGCATGGCCACAGCTTGCACACCCTGGCCTTGATCACTCTCACACCATGGTTGAGAATCTTCCCGAGGGTAGGGGAGGCCTACCTTAGGCTGGAAGACGCGGTTCTCCTTCCCGAGGTGGTCCACGATCCCAAAGATGCACAGCGGCCCAGCAAAGCCTAGCAGGTCTGCCAGGATACGGAAGGTGCTGCTGAGGACCAAGCGTCTCCCAAAGGCGTGGCACAGAGCCTGCCAGATAGCTCGGGCACCCTGTGGGCTCTGGACATCCTTCCGCTGCCCAGAGAGACCAAGGGCCAGATCAGAGGGGCTGAGGGCTCCTTCACGACAGGGCCTGGCCTCCCGGGATGTTCCTGGGGCCCTCTGCCTGGAGAAACCCCGGGGTCATGTATGTCCTCTATAAGCAAGTAGACTCCAGGGAGAATTCATGTAACAACCAGGTATACAGAGGAGTGGTTGCCATCAACACTGACATGGGCTATAATGGGGGAGGGAACTGAGGCCTGTGACCGATCCAGGTGACTTGGCTGGGAAGTGACTATGCACACTCAAGGGAATGAATGTCATACTGAATCACAACCACTTGCCACCAGGTCTGCCTTGGTGTCTCCTGGGGTTCTAGGGCAGACACAGGACAGGAGCATGCACTGGGCTCACTCACAGCTCTCAACGCTGGCGGTTATAGGCCAGCGCTGGGCAGGCACAGCTTCTCTTAGAACCTCAGTTGACTTCACAGTGTGTAGTGCTATGGAGTAAGCCCTGTGTGGCCCAACTCACAGACTTAGGGCCTTCACATCAGTCTGCAGGTCCCCCATCTGGGTGGTAAACCAAATGTCCTAAGTGGTAATGCCCACTTTAACCATGACTGCTTTGTGACCTGAGTCCTGGAGTTGTCCCTAGTTCACCTATGTGACTTAGGTCCATCAGTGGGCCTCAATTTCCCAACATATTCCCTCATAAGGGATTTGACCTGACGCCTTTTGAGGTTCCTGTCTGTGACCCCTCCTGCACTGCAAATAAGGGGATGGGCCAGGTGCGGTTTTGCCCCGACTGACCGCCTGTGCATCAAAGGCCTCACAGAGCCTCCGGTAGTTGGTGAGGGCCCGCATGGCAATGGGTAGCTTCCCGATGGCCCGCAGGTCGATGGGCTTCTTGTGGGCAGTCTTGATGAAGGCGTTCATCCACCAGTAGGTGCCCTTGGACAGCAGATTCACGAAGGGCTGTAGGAAGCGCACCCCCAGGTCCTGCAGATCCTCAGGGGGCTTCACCTCCCGTGGTGTCTTGAAGAAGATGTATCTCTGTGGGGCACAGGGGCCGCAGCATGGGGACCTGTGACTCATCGCCAAAGTCTTGCTGCCCCAGCAGGATCTAGGGCTGGGACAGACTGAGTCCTTGACCTCTAGTAGATGAGCCATTTCTTGCCTGTAAGGATTCCCTGGGAAAGGAACCCAGCTCCTACTAGTCACCCCCTGACTGTGCAACTGTACACAGAGCATAGTAGGATCCCATTTCAGCAACAGTGAAACAGATGCTAGGTGGGGCTGGGGGAGGAAATCTATTTGGTTACATGTGTTGAGAAAAAAAAGTAAAGTATCCATAAAGTCATGTGTTTAAATTGGGACGTGTGTTATGTTCACAAAAGCAAAGCAGGAAGTGACTAATAAGGCTGTTCATCTGTTTACCTGGGGTGGTAGGAACAAGCGCAGAAGAAGGGAAGACAGACTAGGGAGGAGAAGAGAGAGCGAAGGGAGCCAGTGAAAAGGAAAGCAAGGGGCTGGCGTTACGGTATAGCAGGTAAAGCTGTATCCTGTAACACTAGCATCCCTTGTGGGTACCAGATCAATTCCTGACTGCTCCACTTCTGATCCAGCTCTCTGCTAATGGCGTGGGGGAGCAGCAGAAGATGACTCAAGTGCTTGAGCACCTGCACCCACGAGAGAGACCTAGATGGAGTTTCAGACTCCTGGCTTTGTCTTGGCCTAGCCCTGATCTTTGCAATCTTTTGAGGAGTGAGCCAGCAAATGAAAGCTCTCTCTCTCTATCCCTATCTCTTTGAGTAACTCTGCCTTTGAAGTTAATAGAATAAATCCTTTTCAAAAGAAATAATAATAATAAAAGGAGGGGAGCGGAAATGAAACAGTGGAAGATGTGTTTAGTTACGTTTACTCATTTGTGTGGTATGGGACCACATGTGTGCATCCAACAGCCACAGTTCCTCTAACCTCCATAGTGAGACCAGGAGAAGTCAGTCCCTCAAGGGGTTTGTTCTCTCTCTGTGAGTGAACTCTGTCCCGCTCCACTGGCTCCTTGCATCCTCTCCAGCCCCTCCAGGAGGAGGAGCACAGGCAACAGGCCCTAATGGAACCTCTCTGCTGAGACTTTAACCACCAGCCTCAACTTCCCTTTGGGGGAAGGCAGGACGAGCTGGCACCTGCCTAGGCCTAGTTGGACAGCTGGGTGGGGAGGCCTGCACACATGGGTCTAACAGGGGATCGGACCTCCCACCCCCAGCCCTGCCCTGACATGTGTGTAGCCAGACATTTGCTTACCCTCACCCTGATGACGTTGATCTCCACAAGGAGCAGCATGCCATAGAGGATCACCAGCAGCCCGGTGAGGCAGAAACGCAGCTGCGAGAAGCTGATGGCGTGTTCATAGAACTTGACAAACTTGATGGTCTTGGTGATGAAGGCCAAGGTCCAGTAAATAAGCAAGGCTGCAGAGGAGAGACGGGAGGGAGGCGTGTGTGCATGCTCCTGCGGGTATGCGCAGTGGGTACAGGTGCATGGGAGAGGAGAGAGAACTGTGGCAGGGAGGCAGGGGTGTGTGTGGTGCTGTGCAGGGACATTGCTGTGTAAGGGGCCGTTCATGGGTGGCTCTATCAGAGCTCATCCCTGTGAACTGATGCACATACACTAAAACATCCCACCTAAACTGCAGGTGACCTGGCAACAATTTCTCCTTTCTAGAAGGTTCTAGAAAGATCTGCAGTGCAGACTAATCAAGGGTGGGAAGACCATGGACCTGAGCCAAATGCTACTCAACATCTATTTTATAAACAGAATTTAACAGGAATAAGCCCCAGGACCCATGTTCTTGACAGGCAAGTTCCAGAAGATGCAGTCGATGCCTCAGACTGGCCAGAGAAATATCCCTTCACTGTAATGAGAAACATAGGACAAATATCTCTTGGACTGAGCACCATACCAGTAAGTACTTTAAATACATTATCTCATGGGTTCCTTACAATAGTCTCATGAGGGAGGTATTGCTGCCATCAGACAAAGGCTGAGGTGATGTAACTGATCCAACTCAAGAAGCTGTGAATGGCAAAGCTGGGTGAGCCAAGGCCAGAGCCTGTGGATAAATGCCACTTATACTGACATCCTTGTCTCCAAATTGGTCTCCAACTGGAGAGATCTTAAATGCCCACCTATCTAGCCATTCGCTTTACACATAGAAAACTCTGGCTCAGAGAGAGGGTGTGACCTGCCCAGGCTTTCTGCCAGCTCCTGACAAGCAAGAGGATGCAGAGCCCTGTCCCACCCCAGCAGGATGGTGTTTCCAGAGGCCTAAGAGATTTAGAGGGGAGTGCGGTATGGAAAAAATGAGTCACTGCCCTGTGAGGCAGTGTTGGATGGTGGTTAGGGAAGGAACTGTAGCCAGATACGTCCAGGCTCAGCTCCTGTAACACAGTAGCTGTGTGACTCTGGATCTGTCACCTGAGCCAGCTAGACCTTAGCTTCCTCATCCATTAAATAGGCATCATGAAAACACAGGATCAAATGTTGTTGTGAGCAATGCACAGAGAGCTTTGGTCCAGTGGGTCAGACACCCAGCAGATGCCCTTTGGACATCTGGTATCATTTTCATCTCTAGACGGCAGACTGAGCATAAACATCAGAAATTCAAAGAAGATTCTATCTGGAAGTCCCACCTTCTCCCACACCCCGCATTCCATGCTAAGCCCCGTCAGTGTGCCCCAGCAAACCAGTAGTGGCAAGTGAAGCCACCTCCTTCGGGCGCAGTCTGCCCTGTGCCTCCTAATTCTGAGAGCTGTGGGCAGCTGAGATGGGCATCATATTCCCCACCTCCCACAACACCTCCTTGGAGGGCCACTGTAAGAGAAGGAGCCCTTCATCTTTCCCTCCACTCCAAGCTGGAGCAGGTCACAATGCCAGGCTACCTCCTGGGGAACAAAAGCTGGGGTCCATTGGTCTAGCTCAGGGGTAGGAAGCAGATGGAGAGGTTGGGCCCCACCATATGCTCAGGGAGGAGCACACTTCGCTGGGGACAGGGGTTGGGGTCGGTGCCATCCAGTCCTGGTCCGAGGAGGACACCATGACTGAGGGACAGAGGGTCTACTTTCTGACCCCAGTTGTCAAGATTGGGATGACAGCCCCAGCTGTATCTGGCCTCATGGAGCAGCCATGGACCACTCCCCCAATCCCTGAACCCCCATGTATACACTCTCCCGGGGAGACTAGACCAGGCACTAGAATCTCTGTAACCTTGGGAAGGGCAGCCTTGCAGGGCTGCAACACAACGATACATCTCATTCTGGCCCTGCCCTTGCCACACCACAGGGTGGCCCTAAGTACATCTTCACCACAACCTCTTGACTTGGGCAGGGGTTGTAATGTCTGCCTGGCTGGAGAAGTGGAAACCCACAGAACCTTGCTGTCTTGCACAGGAACAAACAAGGAGTCGGCAATCACAGGGCTGCTGGGAGGGAGTGCCAGGGTCAGAATTCGCAGGGAGAAGATGCTGTCTTCTCCCCCTGCTGTATTCCCTGCACCTCCCCACCCTGGAGCCCACCAGCATCCCTCCAGTGTGGCCACACAACAGCCCTGGCCAGGATGCCTGCACTGCCGCACTCCAGAACCTGACCAGGGGTTCCATACGCCTCCTCTTGCCTTGCTCCAGTCTGACCTTACGATCATGTTTATAACCCCTCAATGCATTGTGTTCCCAGCAGTACTAGACACAACCACCCTGAAGTGGGAGTAGCTCAAATGTCCACTGCTGACACATGGGTAAAGAAGCTGTGGGGCCAGCACTGTGGTGTAGCAAGTAAAGCCACCGCCTATAACACTGGCATCCCATATGGGTGGTGGTTCAAGTCCCAGCTGCTCCATTTCTGAACCAGCTCTCTGCTAATGCATCTAAGAAAGTAGTGGAGGGTGGTCCAAATTCTTGGATCCTTGCATCCACGTGGCAGATTTAGAAGAAACTCCTTGCTCTCAGTTTCAGAGCAGCCTAGCCCTGACTTTTGTGGTTATTTGCAGAGGGAACCAGTGGATAGAAGATGAATCTCTCTCTTGCTAGCTCACTCTCTGCCTTTCTAACATAAATTAGATCTTGGAAAAAAAAAGAATGGTCAAATGGTAAACTGTGAGTTATGTACATGCTACCACACATACAAACACAGAGTCCATACAAAGTCGCCAAGTTAATTCCCCATGGGCTCCCATTACCTGTAATTTTAAAGACCAATGTCCGTGGTGTGGCCTTTGAGACCCTGCCCAGTATAGACCCCTCTGAAGCTCAGCCTTTGAAGTCTAGTTTCCCTTCTGCTCTCGACACTCCAGTCATCCCTTTGCTTCAGGATTGCCTAGTATGCTTTGTCCCCAAGCCTTAGAACAGGATGCTCTCCTTGCCTGAAGCATTCCTCTCTCCCTCCTCTCAGTCCCCACCGGCAGTTCTCAGCTGCAGCATACGTTTCTAACAGAACTATTCTGGGACTCTGACCAGGGCCTGATTGTGGGTCTTCTGTGGTCCCATGCACTCTGCATTGCAGTTTGCCTTTCTGTGGCCACCAGACCTGTGCCATCAGCCTCCAGAGGGCACTGACCACCTCCCCAATGCCCAATGCCTTTAGACCCTAGGGTACAGTCCCTCTACTTTTCCCTGTCCCAGACTTTCTGGCTGTGTGGAGCCTTCTTTCTGGGGAACACAACTCCAACCAATGTCTCTGTGGGTGGTAATTCACTTTCTAGAGCAGGAAATGAAGTCAGATGCCAGTGGCGTGTTTCCTGTGTGGGAGTGGATGGAAATGAGGCTGTAATTAGCAGCTGTCCTGTGCATCTGCTGCCCCTGGGGCCCAAACCCACTCACATTGAGGCCCGCTGGATAATCTAGATGGAGCGTGGACCATACCTTGCACCGGAAGGCAGGCCGTATGAAGTTCAGGAGGGGCCTTGGTGGCACTGGCTCAACACAGAGCCTTCCAAATCCTGGGTGCCTGTTATCTGCTGTGCCTCCCACTCTCAGTCTGATCACATGGTTACCTGCCAGAGGTACAGCCAGACCTTCCCATGCACACAGAGCCCAAACACAAGTACCACCCAAAGATGGATACCTCTGCTCCAAGGACAGGGTCCAAGGATATCCCTCCCCCATAGACATGTAGTGTTGGAAGCAATCAGGAGACTCTGGGCTTTGTCCCTGGGCCAGTTGAACTCAGAAGCCGATTGTAAGTTACTGAGCCCTGAGCCTTTGTTTTCTGATTGATGTGTAAAGCCAAACTAACAGGTATAGTTAGAGGGAGGTTGAAAAGGCTCAGGTAAGTTGATACATGGCCAGTGCTCTGGACAAAGCCTGGCCTGTGACAAACACTCTTGAGTGTCTGTGGGTTTCAACTTCCCTGAATCCTGCATTGTGTAAGGGAGGGAGGATACATAGTATTAGTCATGTAGTTATGAGAATTAAGTGAGGTTATGCATGTGAAGAACTGAGTGCTGAGCCAGTCAAGGTCAACAGGGAAACCTTGGGCTCTGGTCCTGGGAGCTTGCTTTTCTCCCTCCAGAGGACCACGCCCAAGCTCTAGCATTATCAGTGGACTTTAAACAGCTCAAGGAGGGGCCGGCACTGTGGCAATGCTGGCATCACCTTGTGAGTACTGGTTCAATTCCAGCTGCTCTATTTCCAGTTCAGCTCCCTGCTAAAGGGCCTGGGAAAGCAAAGAAGACAGCTTAAGGACTTAAGCCTCTGCCACCCATGTGAGAAACCTGGATAGAATTCCAGACTTTTGACTTCAGCTTGGCCAATTCTGGTCATTGTGGCCATTTGTGATGGGTGTGAACTGGTAGACAGGATCTCAATTTCTTTCTCTCTCCTCTATCACTCTGACTTTCAAATAAATAAATCTTTTAAAAATCGTTTCATGGAAAAAAACAGGATGTTCAATTATTTCATCATATGCATCCTCCATGGACTCTGTTTCATCTGTATGTCCATGGCTGCTCAAATGTTTATCCCCTGCCCTAACCTCTTCATGAGTGTCCAACTCCCTCATCTAACTGTCCCTTTGCCAGGTGCTAGTACCATCATTCACCCAGGTGCTCAGGTTGAAGTCTGGCAGTTTCCCTAGCCGTCCCCTCGGCCTCTGACCTCAGCCCCTACCACTTACTCTTGCTTACTTGGCTTTGCCCACTTGCTTCTCTTACCAGCATTCTCCTAAAACGAGGCCTTTGCTAATCAATCCCTCTTAAATAAGACTCGTTAATCCAATCTTTGTGACTCATTTTTATCAAAGACCTCTCCTCCCTTCCTTGTGTAGCAGCGTCACCTTCACTCTCATTCATCCTTTCTCAGCTTGATTATCTTCACAGCACCATCACCACCACCACACTCACGTGTCTGCTTGTCTGTCTGCACCACCCAACAGTAAGCTCCACAGAGATTTCTCTCCTTTGCTCCTGAAGCTCTAGCACCTAGGACAGTGTCGGCACACAGGCAGCACCCAGTGGGCACTGTCACAAAGAGTGAATGAAGGTGTCTCCTTCCTCCCTCCTCCGCCCCCTGGCTTACCGATCAGCAGTTTGGGGAAGTTGGAGGTCTCGATGTTGTGATAGTAGATCACAGAGGTGACAGCAGCCATGAACGCCATCCCCGCTGGCATGTATAGATGGAGATGGCGGGATTCAGTCACCCTGATTTGGGGAAGGCAAGGAGAGAAAAAGAGAGAATGTGGATATATTAAGTACCGCAACATAGCAGCACAGGCCTTGCCCTGAGAGCCCAGCACATAGCAGGGTTTCAAGAACAAATCCTCAGCTTCCTGCCAGAAATCAACAGCTATGCCTAGCCTGAGTGCACCTGTTAGCCATGGGGTCCAAGAGTCCAGCCAACAAAGCTTCCAGCACTCAGTTCAACCTTGCCATTTTCTCTCCTGGCTCTGCCTAGCAGAACCCAGCACAGGGGAGTAAGCTTTGGTGGTGGTAGTGGCAAAACTGGAACGTACTCTTGGGGCAAGGGAACACAGCTGGGCCCCATCCCTGCCTGAACAAGGGTTTGTGCACCACATGTCACTCAGCGATAGCCCCATTTAACAATCACAGCATCCATCAGCATCAGCACATCTCCCCAGATGTTGTAATAACAACAGTGACTAGAGTCAATATTTATGGAGCATTTGCCCTGTGCCAGACCCTGCCCTAAGTACTCAGTGGACATTAACTCATTCAGATCTCCATAAACTCCACGAGGTTCTCTCCATCTCTCCATTTCACAGCTGAAGAAGCAAAGGCAAACTGACTCTAAGAAACATGGCCAAGGTCACTACTCTGTCTTCTCTCTTGGGATGAGGTTCATGGACAGCCCATCCCCACCTGTTGCCCCCTGATGCTCACTCACAGACGCCTTTGTGCTGAGAGCACTTGGGCACGGGTACAGAGCTGAGTGGAGCTATGGGTCTCCACACTCCAGGGCTGATGAGGAGGGTGACCTCATGGGCTCCACAGTGCCCTATCCCAGCTCCCTCTGCAAATGGCAAGCTCCACACTGCTCAACCTGGCTGGCACTCGAACCTGGGTCATGTAGCCTCCAAGGCACTCTTGTGATCCTCTCCTGCATGCCCTTACTGTTCTAGCCATGTTGGGACCCTGTGAGAGCCTTCTATCCTGGTGATGCTGTTGCTGGTACTACACCTTGAATAACACAAGATCCTTGTCCTTGGGAAGCTGACAGCTGGGAGGAGATGCCTGAGCTAACTGTCTAATTCAGTAGCCCAGGGAAGTGGTGCTAGAAGTGGACAGGAAGCTGAAGGATACAAAGTGGACACAAAGTCTGGGTTGGCAACCCAGGAAAGCTTCACAGAAGAGGTGGTGCTAGCCTAGATCTTGAGGCTTGTTGGGCTTCAACAAGGGAGGAGCGGACTGAGGTCTTCACATGGGTACATGGGCCCAAGCACTAGGGCCATCCTTCACAGCTTTCCCAGTTGCATTCGTGGAACGTTGGATCGAAATGGAGCAGGTTTTCGAAGTGGGACTCAAACCCATACCTATATGGGATGCTGGTGCTATAGGCAGAGGCTTAACCTACCACAGCATGGTGACTCCTCTCACACATTTTTTAAAAAGATTCATTATTTTTCTTATTTGAAAGGCAGATTTTACAGAGAGGGGAGAGGTAGGGAGAGGACATTTTCCCTCTACTGTGATCACAGGAGTTGATGCTGATCTGAAGCTGGGAGCCAGGAGCTTCTTCTGGTCCCCCACATTGGTGCAGGGTCCCAATGACTTGGGCCGCCCTCCACTGTTTTCCTAGGCCCTTGGCATGAAGCTGGATCAGAAATGGAGCAGCCATCTTGGATGCCAGTGCTGCAGGCCAGAGGATAGCCTGTTGTGCCACTGTGTCGGTCCCTCTCTCACATATTTTTAAGATGGCATCTAAAATGTTACATTATACATTAAAGTAAAATCTTTTTTTTGCAAAAAGAAGTAGAAATATTAAAAATTTTATAATATGAGGATTAACTATAACTGGAATAAATATTTCATGGTATAAATTATTAAAATAGGTTTTAGCTACTTTACTGGATATTAGACACTGAATTATGTAAGAAATTAAGGGTAGATGTGTGGTACAGGTCTTTGCTTGGGATTCCTGCGCCTATAGTGTGGTGCCTGGTTTGAAGCCCTGGTATTCCCCCTCCAGTCCAGCTGCCCGTTAATGTGCACCCTGAGAGGCAGCAGATAATGACTCAAGCACTCGAGGATCTACCACACATGCAGAAGACCCAGATTTAGTTCTGGGTAACTGACTTTGGCTTGTCCTAGTCCTGGCTGTTGGAGGCATTCAGGAAGTAAGCCAGCACACTGACATTTTTTTCCTTCATGTACATGTGACATTTAAACCTACCTCACTAACCTATACATCTTTAATTGTACTGAGTCCAAAGCATCTCACACGAAAATTGCACCCCAAGGAAAACAGGAAGTCCTATGTTCAAGATGCCTCAATTAGCCACCTACAAAGGCTTATCCACACCACACACGAATTTGTAGGCCACTACCAAAGCCAGTCCCACTTCCACTTGCTCTCTTGGCTCTGTGGACTCTTGGCTCGCTCCAGACTGGGATGCACTGGAGTACCTCAAGGCAAAGCCTGTCCCTTCCCCACACTCCTCCCTCACATGTGCCTGGGTCTGGGTTCATGAAGACCTGGTGACAAATGCCCACACCCTGGGGAGATGACCTACTGTGCCGAGCTGGAGAGAGCATAGGGGCACAGGACAGGCTGTGAGTATTGCTGGTCAGAGGGCTCACCACACACCTTCCCTGAACTTCTGCTGCTTTGGAAGGGGTGTTGGAGGAAAGGGGTGGGAGGCCAATTTGTCACCATGAGCTGGAGAAATGACCCGTGCCCTATGGCCTTCCTGCTGGCCCAAGGGCCCCTGGCCCTCTGGAGGGAGCCACTGCCTCAGAGCCAGTGGATATCACAGGGGTCACTGCTGCAGCCAGGATGTGGGGACACTGTGGGATGGCAGGGTGAGGGAGTGCGAGGATAACACCCCCTGCATGCCAGTGGAAGGAACCTGGGTGTGCTAGCAGACGGAGAATCTGGGCTCAATCAGATTCCAGATCAGAGGGACCACACTCAGACACTCCAGCCCAACGTCCTCCTGCACACCAGCCCAACACCCAGGCAGTCCCCAAGCCTTGCTGCTGTTCCTGCAGGAGATGGCTACCCCTTCTCCCCTCTGCCCCTCTGCTGACACGTCATTCCCAGCCACCTTGGCTCACATCTGATCACTGCATTCACCTGCCAAGTACTGCATCCACCTTCAGCCTTCCCAGCCTCCAGCCACCCTGGAAACCTGTCATGTTCTTACCTATCAAGGCTGCACCACTGTCATCTTATCTGTTCCAAACTACTGGCAGGACTCAATACACATCCAGTCTGTAGTATGAAGCCCTCCACAAGATGCCATGGCCTGGCTCCCAAGCCTCATCCCTGGCCCTCCCCTGGTATCGTTAATGTTCTGACCTGGCTGTGTTGCTCCCCAGCTGTCCCTGCTGCTTGTCTGGCACCTTAATTCTTCTACCCCCCAATCTTGTGAGCTCCTCTGCTCAACAGAACCCTCCTCAGACTTGCAGGCCTGGCTCACTCAGCCAGAGAGCTGGCCCTGGCAGCCTCTTCTCCTCCCCAGCATGTCCTTTATTCTTCTAGGGACTCCAATTATACTCCGAAAGCTTTGGCATGTGCCTTGCACTGTGAACAATTTCTGCATTCTAACCCAGGGGCTTTGCTGACTCAGGAGACAGTTTTGCAAATGAAGGTAACACACAGTGAGATCTGTGCTACAACAGAGATGTGTGTATGTGTGAGCATGAAAGTGGTAGTGGCTGTAGGGGTGTGGAAGGGATGTGTTGAGTGGCCCAGGGGAAAGGCAAGCAGACAGAAACAGGCTTTGAGAAACGGGCAATCAGCAGGTGCCCAGGGACCCAGGGACTGCACCTGGTCAGCAAAGGACAGCCAAAAGAGATCTTAAGCAACAGTGATCTGTTACGTTTTTCCAAGAAGGTAAATGCTTGTGGCAGAGGTGTACTAACATACTCCAGCATTGCTTTATCACATCCTGACACAGTCTGACATGCAAATCCATGTCCCCTCCTCCAGCTTGGTCCCAGAGCTGGGTCTGGATATCTCTGTGGGAAGTGCCCAGTTCAGAGAGCCTGACCCACAGAAGATATTGAGCAATGGTTGGATTTGTTAGCAAATGATATGACTTGTGGAATGCACATGAGATGAGGTGTCCTGGGCCTGTCGGGAGGTCCCTCGGGGCAGACACATATACTCTGGCACCCTCAGAGAGTGACTCACCCATCGGACAGGATGCCCTCCGCGATCTCACACACCAGGACGAAGAGCAGCATGAAGGTCAGGATCCAGCGCAGGTTGTGCCCGGGGAAATGAAGCCATGTGCTGTGGTGGATGTGCACCTTGGAGCTCTGACTGCCCCATCCTGTGGTGGGAAGGATTGGAAGAGGTGGGATGCACAGCCCACCTGGAGGGCGGTGCTCAGGCAGGTAAGTGGCCTGTGCACACCTGTGCTGGAGAACCCCCAAGGCTGGCACACTTGGCCGGCCTTCCATGGGGGCTCATGTTTTGCGTGCTGACCTCTTATATAACAAGTCATCCAGTAAATGTTTGAAAACAGGGTAAATGTTAGCCCCTTTTCTCCTATTGTTAATACATATATGAACTTCATTGAAATTGTTTTTGTCCTTGGCAATAACTAATAACTCTAATTCTACAGTAGCCTCTTGCAAATTTATTTGGATGACCATCTCTCCTTTCCTCCTCAAAGCCTGACATGAAATTTATGATTTGCTTTTCTACATTTTTATTTATTTTATTTTTAGAGGTGGGGAAGAGTGCTCCCATTCATTGGAATACTGCCCCCTCCCCTAAAAAAAAAAAAAAACTTGCAACAGCCAGGGTTGGGCCAGGCATGAACCAGGAGCAAGGAATGAAATCAAGTTTCCTACATGCAGGGCAGCGACCCAACTACTTGAGTCACTCACCACTGTGTCCCAAGGTGCACATGAGTCGGAAGCTGCAAGAGGAATTTGAACCCAAGCATTCCATTGATGGAAGTGGCCTTCCCAAATTGCATCTCAATAACTATGCCAAAGTTATTTGCTTTCTTTGCTAAAGCGAATGAGCACGTTTTGGGGAAGCAAAGGCTAGCCCCCTTGCATTTCCCAAAGAGCCCCCGAACAAAGAAGCCCACATAATTGTCTCCACAGGGTCGTCCAACTTTGCAGAATGCTTCAAGCACCGGTGCTGGAAGACCTGCCAGGGGCGCTGTGTTTACAAGTCAGGGCTGCTCCACGGCAGAGCTGCGAAGTTGCGTGTGCTAGGGAGATGGGTAACAATGGACCGGCTCCAGGTCTCCAGCTCCCACCGCGTCCTTTGATCTAGGGTGTGCGGGGATGGGGTTGGGAGAGGGACGGTCCAATACAGAGGAAGCGCCAGGATTCGCGTGGCCTCCATCCCGGCCCGGGAGCGCAGGCTAAGCCTTGTCCCAAGTGGTGGAGAGGGTATCCTGGGGGAGGGGTGACCCCGCTTCCTTCGCTCCACCACTGAGGGTGTGGCGCGACCCACCTCCGACCCTCTGGCGCGTGTGGGGACCTTGCTCTCCCTTTTCTCCATCCTGGTCACGGTCGTGTGGGGGCAAAACTTGGAGATGGCTTACTTAGGTCAGGAAGGTCCGTTGTGGTTGCCAAACCACTCCGGGGGCACCACAGGGAGCGCAAGGATGATCCGGTATGGGAGTGCGGGGGCCCGGCATGCAGACTGGGGGCAAGGGGACCCGGCAGCGCGGTGTGCGGCAGTGGTGGGCCGGAAGGGCCGCGGAGCGGTGCGGCACGCACCGCCTCCTCCCCCGCCCGGCTCGCCGCTGCCCTCCCTGGCCCGCAGCCCGCGGCGCGCTCACCCACCGATGAAGAGGATGGGGAAGGTGATAAAGAGCAGGAAGACGTGCGGCACCACGTTGAGAGCGTCCACGAAGCACCCGTTGTTGAGGACGCCCTGGTCCACCCGATAGGCAGCGGAATGATTCTCGCTGCCGCAGAAGGCCAGGGGCATGGCGGCGGGCTGGGCTGCGGCTGGTTCCGTGCGCCTCGCGCGCCGCTGTCCCTCGCAGCTCCGCTGCCCGAGTCGGCCGCCAGGCCCCCGCCCCCGCCGCGGGCCCCGCCCCGCCGGCACCCACCCCGCCCCGGCCCGCCACCTGCGGGGCCCAGGGGGCGGCGCGGAGCCGGACCAGCCCCGCCGGGCCCGACCCGCGTTCCAGCGGCCGCCCGCGCGCGCAGATGTGCGCGGGGGTCTCTTTGGGAGTGTCCCGCTGCGCGCGTGCGCTGGCGACAGACGTAGGACTGGGACCGGGATGCTGGGTCTGGTGGGAGGGTGGTGAGGTGGCCGTTGACCAGAGGAGGGTGCACAGGGATCCTGAGAGTGTGGGTTTGAGGTGTGAACTCCCCTGAACACGGCATGCTTGATGTAGTGGGGTTTCGGGGTCCCGCAAGTTCCTACTACAGATGGATGAGAAAAGCGGTGATGAGACACGGAGGACGGGAGTTGGGAATTCTCGAAAGCAGTCCCAGGCGCCAGTGGGCTCCTAAGTGCTTGACAAAGTATCCAAAGTATCCTTTTACATCAGGGATTTCGGAGCACTCCTGCCAAGTACAGTTTTGTTTTGTTTTTTAAAAGCTATTTTATTTTTGTTTTTTACCTGGTGAGAAAAGCCAGTTCAGGCAGGTAACGTGACTGCCCCAAGGTCTCACTGCCAGCTGGTGGGACAAGCAGCATAAGCTTGAATCCAAGTTCCTCTCAGCCCCTCCATTTTCTTTCCTGCTTCTGGACATTGCACCTGTCCAGTCATTGGCAGGCAAGAGGGTTAGCTGGGTGCCAGCTCTGAACTCTGGAAAAAGAGGCACTGTAGAAAGGGATCTACCAGAAGTTAGGGGCTGGAATGCTGACCCTGGCAAGGGTTGAGGACACAGGGAAATTCCAAGGGTGATGTTAATATGTTATTATGCCTAGCAATACCACCTTGAGCAATTTCTATGAGACTGGTCCAAAACAAGTGTGCATGTCTTGCAGGGAAAATCCAGCGGGGCTTGGGTCGCCTGGCCCAGGTCTCAGGGCCTGCGTACTAGGTAAGTGCCAGGTTTGTGAGCTCCAGGGTTGGGGGGGTCCTGCGATGCTTGGGATGCCTGGCCCAGGTTCTTGGACTCGCCTGCAAGAACATGTCCTACTTAGTGGAAAAGGTGGAGCAGTGGACATAGGCCCTGTTGTGAAAGGAGATTATGGCAGCTCATTTGGTGACATACAAAAAACGATGACAGCAAAAAATCTCAGTGAATGGAGCCAACGGACACTGAGAGGGTGACATCATCCTACGATTGGTGAAATCGGCAGCATTCCAGAACTATCCAAACCACTGGGACAGAACTCTTGGAATATGTGCACATTGAGACTCTGGTTGATATGAGGTGGCAGTTCCTCATCCCCGGGTGCTGGGATGCGTGGAAAGTCATGAGTGGTTTCCCCCTTTGTCTCTCCTCTTCCTTCAAGAACAACAAGAAGAAATAGCAAATTTGGAAGCAATGACTTTACCCAATTTTCCCTAAACATCTCTTCATCTCACCCTGATCAACCATGTCATCATTGTTAAAAATAAAATTAATTTTAAAAATAATAAAGAAAAATTAGATAACTGGGGCTGGTGTCCTGGCATTACAGGTTAAACTGCACCTTGTGACACTGGTATCCTATGTGGGTGATGTTTTAAGTCCTGGCTGCTCCACTTCTGCTAATGGCCTGGGAAAGCAGCAGAAGATGGCCCAAGTCCTTGGCCCCCTGCACCTGTGTGGGAGACCCAGAAGAAGCTCTTAGCTCCTGGCTTCAGACTGGCCCAGCTCTGGCTGTTGTGGCCATTTGGTGAGTGAACCAACAGATGGAAAATCTCTTTCTCTGTGTGTGTCTCTCCTTCTCTATCTGTAATTCTGCCATTCAAATAAAAATAAATGAATCTTTTTTTTTTTAAATAGATAAGCAAGATTCAGAGATTTGATGCTGTGCCCATGGTCACCTAACAAGATTTTGTCTTTCCAAGTTTTCTCATGCCTTCTGTGATGACATTTGTTTTTGTGGTGACAAGTTTTTACATTTTCCGCTGTGGTGTCTTGGTAGTAGCATCCTAGACAAGACATCTGGCCACTGATGGCCCACAGATCTGGTGCTGGTCCTATAGGGCTGTGCCTTCTGGCGATGAAACAGCCATCACAGTTTTTATCAGTCCCTCTGATGGTGTTCACACAGTGATGGCACTCCCTCAGGACGCTTTCTTGCCAGGAAGTGATACGTGGCTGTCGTGCTGGGTTTGTTTATCAACAATAGGGGGCCTCATTCTGGTTCTTCCCTGCCCATTGTGCCATTTTGGACAAGTCATCAATCCGTACTTCTGTCTCCTTGTTTTCTCCGTGGAAAAATGACAACATGGACTACAGTGGGGTGATGGCTGTCCCTGTGCCTTGTAAGCTAGGGAGGTGGTCCATGGCACTTTGTCCCCTGCCTGGGTGCACGCAGTAGGCCACCAGTCAAGAGGGTTCTTTCATCACACAGGGCCTGACACAACTTCTTCTGAGAGGTAAATAGAGTGTGTGGAGGTAAATAGAGTCTCTATCCGTCAGCTCATTTCCCAGATGCCTGCAGCAGCTGGAGCTCAGCCACAGCCCAGGTGCATTGCAGGTCTCTCCTCCCTCGTGAGTGGCAGGAACCCGACTGCTCCAGCCATCACCACTACCTTTCCTTAATGGGAAGCTGGGGTCAGGAGTGGAGCTGGAAACTGAACCCAAGCACCCCAATGTGGGTGATCTGAACAGCTAGATTACACACCTGCCCTTCCTGGGACATTTAATATAAACAAAAACACAGACCAGTTCAAGCTGGACTTAAGCATAAAGGGCCATGGAAGATGTGTCACCTTGACCAAAAGGAGTGCTAGGTCTGTTGTGAACAAAGCACAAGCCTGCTGTGCAGTTGTGGGAAAATTCCACCTGCCCTGCACCCTACAGTGAGGGAATGATGCACCACTGCCCATGGCCTCACGGGTCCAAGAGCTACTCTGAAAAAAACTAGCTGCACATGGAGATCAGAAATGGCCTTGTCTACAGCCTGGGTTGTAATCTTGGGATCAAGTGCTCATCTGTATGGGCCTTAGGGAAAACAAACAAACAAAGCAGTGACCTGTCCATACAACACGATACTGTGGGGGCGGGGTGGGGACAGCCGGCAGTATAGGCAACAGCTCCAGACCAGGATACCTGTGACTCTGGGTAAGTGCTGGGTCTCTGGGGGCTTCCCTGCTCCAGGATGTCTTTTGCTTTCCTTGCAAAAGAGGCTGGAAGAAGCCCACACACTACATGAAGCCTGCTATAAGAAAGTGGAACCCCCCCCCCCCTTGGAGAATACTCCGTCCTTCTCCTTGCAAAATGTAAATCCTGGACTGGATTTAGAGGACTGGATTCTCATTCCTTTTTAAAAAATTTTTTTACTTCTTCTCCTTATTATTATGTTATTGTTATTATCATTATCATTTTATGATACAATTACATAGGCCCTGGGATTTCACTTACCCACTCCCCAGTCCCTTCCCCTCTCACTGAGTTCCCCAACATTATTATTATACTATAGTTCTTCATAGACAGTCACATGTCCATCATAACAGGCATGGACAATGGCAGAGAGTCCAGCATTCTATTGTCAAGATATAGTAAACAGTTTCATTGGGAGTCCATCTTTGGTCTGGAAGTAGAGTTGCATACTGCATTGTATCCTCACATCTAGATATGTTAGTCTGTATTACACAGCTATTATACATCACCTCAAATGAAAAGCCACAATACAAAATCAACAACAGGAAGAAAAATAGAAATTTACAATGCCATGAAGTTAAATAATTTGCTACTAGATATGATAGTCTCTATTACACAGCGACTGTACATCCAGTTAAATGAAAAGACAGAAACAAAATCAACAAGATGAAGAAAAAAGAAATTAACAACACCATGAAATTAAATAACATGCTACTGAATGACTAATGTGTTGCTGAAGAAATGAAAAAGAGAATCAAGAGCATTCTTGAAGAAAATAATGGTACTCTATGATCCATGAGTCATTGAAGATTTTGATCGGAAGAAAGCGTTTTGAAGATATGAAACTAACAAAAATAAAAAATCCATGAGTTATAGTTTCCACTATTCTTTGTTGGTGAGATATGTCTTCTGCAGGCAACAAATAATGGTGTTTTTTTTAATCCAGTCTACTAAACTGACATTTGATTGATGAGTTGAAGCCATTTATATTCAGGGTTAATATGAATGGGTGGTAATTTGGTCCTATTATTTTAGCAATGGGTTGTTCATTGATTTAGTCTTCTGTTGTTATTTTACTGGGATGTTCTTCACATTTGCCTTTGGTTTTGGTGGGTGCTATTCCTCTTTTCTGTCAAGAGAACATCTTGAAGTATCATTTGTAGGGCAGGTTTGGAAGAGGCATATTCTTTGAACTATTCTTTACTGGGGAAAATTTTTATTTCATTTACAGAGAAAACAGAAAACTTTGTTGGTTGTGCTATCCTGGGCCAGCAACTTTTTTTTTGTTTTTCTTTTAGAATCTGGAATATGTCACCCCATTCTCTTCTTGTCTGTAGGGTTTCCTGTGAGAGGTCTCCTGAAAGTCTAAGTGGCATTCCTTTATGTGTCAGTTGATTTTTTTCATGTGTACATTTAAGGATCTTTTCCTTATGTTCAATTGAAAAGAGCTTGATTATCATATCTTGTGGTGAAGATTACATTTGGTGAAGCCTGTTGAGAGTTCTGTGCCCCTCCTGGATCTTGTTTCCCAATTCTTTCTCTAGATTGGGGAAATTTTCCCTTATTATTTCATTAAACAGATTTGTAAAAAGCTTCTCTTTCTGCATTTTCTGGGACTCCTATAACTCTTATATTTGGTCTTTTAATAGTGTCTTTCAATTCTGGAACATCTTTTTTAGCTTGACCCAGCGCTGCATCCAACTTTTTGTT